CAACATTTAATTTAGAGAGAAGAGGTCTATCATTTGTTTGAATTATAAGTAATTCACTTTATTTACTATTACTTTTATATTATTCTATTTTTTAAGTTATTCCACTTATATCATATTATAAATTTCTTATCAATGATATCTAATACATAAACAATTTCATTCCAGCATCCTAAACTAATTTTCTTCTATCTATTTCTATATTTAGAAATATATCTTAAATATATGCAATATCCTAAAAATATGTGTCTAAATATTAATTATAATAAAGAATAAACTGTTTTAAATTAGTTTCACTTTTCTCATAATTTCTCTTTTTAGAAGTTATCTTACCTTCTAAATAAATCTTTTCTTCATATAATGCTTAATTGTAATCATCTTGTAATGCATGTAATTCCTCAATATTTCTTCTAACTTCTTTAGAATGTTTATTCTGTATTTTATTAACCTCATTAATCCATCCTTAATCAAGACTAATTGTATTTTGTAATTCTAAGACAACATTATTTTTTAACTATTAATACAATTCTTTACTCTACTCACTTGAAATCAGAAGATAATTCCTCACATATTGCATGATATCTGTAAAGCTATCTTGCTAAGTATTCTCAACAATAGTGCTTAATTCATACCCTTTACTTATTTTCTAAATTTACCTATTTTCTCAAGACTTTTCGAATATACTTCTTCTATTTCAGCTCTTTATTGCAGAATATTTAAAAACTCTTAAATTGATTTCTTCTTATCATTAAGTCGTTTGCTTAATTGTTCTGTAATTTAGACAATGTCTGGTTCAAATTTAGAGTTTAACATTTTATACAAAAAAAGTCTGTTTATACAATTAATATTATAAACTTAATATATTTAGAATCAATAAAACTTTGAATTTATTTCAAAAAAGGGAATTTTGTAATTAATTTTACAATTCATATTATTAACATTAATTAACATTCTCTAGTTTTAGTATATTCAATATATATTAGATATTTTATAAAATTCTTAAATAATATATATTATTATATTAAATTAGTACTAATCTTGATGATAAGTAACTTTTTATTTGAATTAATTCAGTGTGCATAACTCTTTATTAAATTATAAAAATAACATTTTATACATTTTTCTATTAATTGTATAAATAAAATCGAATTAATATGAATCATTGCTTATTCATCCATAATTTAATTGTATGTTTATCTTTTGTTATTAAGACTTTATTTTTCTCAAGAGCCTTTATAATTATGACTGAATCATCTAAATTCTATTTAAATAATAAATTTCCTTTTTACCAATCCCATAATGATATACATCCTTATTTTAAAAAAAGATTGTTTTGAGCTATTGCGATTATATTAGAATCATATATAAAATCAATATTGACTAATCTAACTGAAAAGAGTTCCAATTATCTTAATATGATTGGTACTTCAACATTCAATAAGATTAAAGAGTTTGAAGCTTTTCTATAAGCAAAAAGTAGATTATTACTTTAATTAGGATATTCTAAATAATTAAGACCATCTTTAAATTAAAATGATTTTGTTATTGAACTCAATTTATAATTCCATATTGTTAATTTTTCATCTGAAGTAGCTAAAGCTATAAAATAATTAGATTATGATAAAGCTATAGCATAAATTTCAGTTTGTTATACTTCTTGAGTGGAAATCTTTTATAATAATTTAAACTCTTCCAAACTCCAAAGACATAAATTATCAAAAGATGCTGCTGATACAAACAATTTTTCTGATTTTTGTATATGAATAGTTTCCACAAAATATGAATGGCCTTTTAATACTTTTAATTTTTGATTTTCATCATTAATATTTATCACTATAATATCACATGTTAAACCATATGCAATTAAAAATTATCCACTATAAGAAAACTTAAGTGATCTTAAATAATCAACAGGTAAAACAAATTCTCGTTCTTTTTCAGCCGTTAAAGCTGAATAAATATGAAGGACTGGATTTTGTATTTTAGAGTTTTCTTATTTTTAAGTTCCAATTATGATAGCAATTTTATTTACTTTTAGATTGACATCACAAATTACAGAACCATCAATAGTAGTTGAATGTAATATCTTTAAATTTTAATACATTTCATCAAAGACTTCCATGAATAATAAATTATAATTGATCAAATATGATCAAATTTTTATTTATATAAAATTATAATATAAATAATATATTTCATACCATTCAAAATGAATTTATGAATCTTATTCTTTACAATATATTTAACTCATTCTCTCATATAAGTTTCAAAATTATATATTAGAAAGAATATAATTTATAGTATAAATCTCATAATTATCATTTATTGATGTTTACTAACTATTGTCCTTTAAGCTCATTGTTTTCTTAAGCTTTAGGAGTTTTGCTGAATCCACCTTTTCCAAGATGAAGAAGGTTGCCACTAGCATTAACTATGCCTGAACCAGCCCACCATATACCGTATCCAACGGAATTCACTGTTCCTGTTACAACATTTTTAGTTCCATTAGCTATAGTAATTGTACTTAAAAACCTAATTTGTTAATTAGACCTGTGGAATTGGGATTTGGGTCTTCATCAAAGTTATTCATCCTTTTGTAAGTTTTTTTATTAATAAATTAAATTAATTAAAATTAATATATCAAGAACTGATTATTTCTTCTAATTGATGCTATAATTAAATAATTTTGTACATAAATTTTATTCAGGAATTGTCTATCTTGTGAACTTGTTGAATCTATGAGTAATTAAATTTCTGAGAATGGATGATCTACATTACTCAATATCAAACAGTACTTCACTAGTTAATCAATTAAACCAGAGTTAATAGCTATGTAATAATATTATAAAGAGTACCTTTAAGAATTGCATTCATCAATTATAAACACCTCAACTTCTCTCTAGGATAACTCATATATTCAATTTTATCTAATTCATTTAAGGCTTCTGTAATTCGTATTGTTTATTAAGTATTGAATTCTGGTATCTATAGATCTTTATGTAAATCACTTTTTATCTATATGTTATTTCTGTCTATTTTCTTAGATCTGAATAATTCATTCTATTATTTAAACATGTTTTAGTATTGAGGTAAAATACAATGAGATAACTTTAAATAAAAATATTTTTCAATTGAAATCTTGCAATAAGGCATTATTTAAGTAGTTTCTTATTTACCAAAATTGAAAGATTGAAATAGTGTTTCCACAATTTGATTAATAAATGCATTTAATTATTAAACATTTTATTTAATGTTAGTTTAGTCATTATTAAGATTGTTTTATAATTTTTGAATATATTCTGCTACTTTTTTTCCTAAGCCATAATTTGAAGCACATAATAACTTATGAAACATATAATAAGCACTTGTTTCTAAATAGTATGGGTTTTGATTTGCAGGATTTTCCATCTCTTCTGAAACATTCACAATCCCAACAAATTCAGATGCTTCATTCATCATATTTTAATCTTAAGTTTTCTTATTACGCAATTTATCAATTTTAGATAAGAAATAGTTAATCAATTCTTAATTTTCATCATAATGTCCAGTGATCCCTCTTATAGAAACTATTCTGACACATTTGACTTAATTTGTATCAATTTAGATTTTAACTAAACAAATTTATTCAAAAGTGTTTTCTTATATGCAAATCATTCTTTTTAAAGTATTTTTTATCACTGCTACATTTTCCTTAATAGCTATAATCTAATTTGAATCCTTTTCCAATATTTGATATTATCTATAATAGTGATTTGAAAACTTTACTTCTTTTTTGTACAGCTAATAAATAAGTCTAAGATATGACTTGTAGAAACCTAGAAAGGTAATTCTATAATTGAATTTGGTTAATTTATCATTAGTAATTAAATTTAATATATAATAAACTTAATTATTATTATCTATTAAAAGTTAACTACAAAATCTTGCAATAAGTAATTTTAAATAATATAAACTTAAAGATAGTCTAACATACTTAGTTTAATATAAGAAAATGAATTTGAATTTAATTTGTTAGTGAATTTTTTATAAAAACAGATTTAAGAACATTAGATAAAGGATATTCTCATTATTATTATGAATAAGAGTATATAACTAAAGAGTTTATTGTAATAAAAATTTTTAAATAATTTGTTCTTTATATAAATTCATAAATTCAACAATTTTTAACTTTATTACCATTTAAAATGTAAAATCAAAAGAAAGTTAGCAATCTATTAAAATTTAATTGGGTTTTTGAATCTGATTATGATTAGATTAAATATATACTTTTTATTAATAAATATTTGTCAGTTAAAATGTCTAGCACTAAATTAAGAAGATTAAGCTAATAAGAGGGGGATGGATCAAAATTAAGAAGATTTAATGTCCTTTATCCAAAAACAATAATTTAATAACATGTTTTGGATATTAAAAGAGAGAAGGAAAGAAAAAAATAAAAGAGATTAGAATTACAAGAATAATAGTAAATATTTTTGGGTTTAGTAGGAAGAATACCATTATGTCTACATGTAAAAAGAGCATTGGTTCAACCAGTAAATCTAAATAAACTCAAAGAAGATTAATTAGTTCAATGAATAATAATTTACTGAATTTTAAGACTCCAACATCAAGATTATCTGATTATAATACTCGTATATCATCAAGACTTTCATCAAACTCTCATTATGAAGGAGTTAAGCAAATATTCTTGAAAACTAATTTCAAGCGACCTAAATATTAAGAACAACAATTGATAATTGTGGATCCTTATATAGAAAATAAAGAAAATTTTTCAAATGTTTATAATTTGAGACCAAATAGAACAATAGAGAAATTAGTTACAGATAGGAAAAAGAGTTATAGTACAAATAGGAATTTTTTATTGAAGTCTCCTAAATCACATACTACTTTATTGAGTGTAAGATCACTAAATTTTTTATGAAGTGCTGATTCTATATTTGTAAATATACAGGTTTAATAATTCTTTAATAATATATAAATTTTTGTATTTTTGATAATAAATAATGTATAAATAATATGACTTGTAATTATTCAGTGGTGCCATAATATAATTGAAACATTTGAGTACTAATGATTATCTCTTTTCAAATAGAATCAAATTAACAAGTGGGTAAGGAGAATCATCTAAAAATAATTAGATCTAAAGAGACAATGTTAGGATGTACTAAAAACTAATATTAAGAAGGGACAAAATTTGAAATTCACTTGGCATATACAGATTTTGGAAATATGCTTTATTAGCCGATAAAATATGGAGACCTTGTATATTTAAAATAATAAGATTAAATTGTGACTATGTAATTAATTTAATTAAATTTAGTAATATAAATAACAAATCATAAACAACAAATTAGAAGGAAGCAATTTTAATGGAGAAATAAAATGAAATTATGGGATCTTAGATTTTTGTAATATCTCCTTCAGAATTATGGTAAGGTTCTATTTTAAAAATTAAAGAATCAATAATAAATTAAGCATCAATCATAAGATTAATTAATATAACATCTAATTTATCTATACATTCAAATTCAAATTATTTTAAATAGAAAGAATTATCTGATTGTGTAGAAGTAATTGGATGTAATGAAAGAGATTAAAATGATGATTGGTTTGTAAACATTCATGACATTAATCTTATAAATGGAATCATTCATTTATTACCTAGATTTTCTAAACCAATTTTCCATGGAAGTCTAGTTATAATTCGTAATGCATTTTTAGGTACAGCTTTAAATTCTCATTCTATTCTATTAAAATCAAAAAATTAAGAAGTCACCACTAATTCTATAATACCAAGAATATGTATATTATTAATATTAGAATTTTAGCAAATGAACTTTGGGAAGTTGTTTTGATGAAAATAGAAGGAGAAAGAAAACATTCAATTGAAAATCAATTATTATATGGTGAAAAGTTTTCATTATTACATTCTAATACTAATCAATTTCTAAAATATAATAAAGGATAAACTAATTCAGATAAAACATTTTAAGTTTGTTGTTCTGATTAAAATCTATTCTTAGAAGAATGGTCTATTATTCCATTAAGTCAATAATAAACTCAAGCAGTTTTTTGTAATGACTTTTTTTTAATTAAAAATAACACTTGTTAATAATATCTAACTTCAATTGCTGAACCTTCTTATATAACTAAATAACAATACAAAACATTTTTAACATAATTGCCGACCAATGCTTCAGTGTGGACTATTGAAGCAGTTTTGAATAATAAACAAAATTATTCATGATATGATTTAATCTCTATGTTTATAAAATTTTTATTTATAAATGTTATTTAAAATTGATTGCAAAAATATTAAACAAAGTAAATAGCTAACATTGACAAATGAAGCAAAATATCCAATTTTAATTAGGATTATAGATAACAATTCTTGTAGTATTATTCCTTCCTTTTCATTATTGAAATTAAATGAAAAAAAGAAATTTTAGATTTTGTCTAAATTACCTTTTAAAACAGAAAGCCTTATTAAGATTGAAGCTATAGAATTTGATGAAACCAAAATAAATACATTCGTAATTTAATTATCTTCTAATTCTAAGTCTATTCCACCATTCTGGAGAGAAAGAAATGAGGGTTGCTTAGAGACATAATCTCAATCTCTATCATTGCATTCATATTTATATGAGTCTAATGAGTTTGTATTTGAAAACAAATCTCCATCAATGAATTAAACATTTAATGATTAAAGTCAGATCTAAAATAATGCAATTGAAAACTCATATGCATAAAATATCTAGTAGAATAAATAAAATATAAAGGATAATGATAACCAAAATAGTTTTAATAAAAGCATAAAATCTTAACAATCTATATAAGTAATATGTACAAATAAAATATCAAATGAAAATAAATTTGATCAATCATATTAATAAAATAAGAAAAATTCTATAAGCAGTTTTGAATCCTATAAATATATTTCTACAACTCAAACATAACCATAAATTCTCAAAATGCCAAAAGATTTAAATAATTTCTTAGATTAAATTGATTCTTCAAATAGTCCATTTCTTATTTAAATACCCTAGTCTTAAAGTCATTCATAATTTAACTGTCTTGATAATGTTTAATAAGATATGAGTATCAGTGAAACTACTTCAATATAAAGATTTCATAATACAAAATAATCAGAACCCCAATTAAGTAAATCACAATTCAATGGGAAATCAAAGTTTAGAATTTCGTAACATCTTATTAATCATCCAAAATCTACAATTTATAATTAACAAAATTTAAATAAAAATAAGTAACTAGAGGATTAATTATTAAAATAAATTGTAAATTTTTATAATTTATATAGTCTGAATTGCAATTAAATAAATAAGAATTATAATAAGAACTCAAAAAATTAGAATTCAAAATCATATTCAATTGTAAAAATCCAAATAAAATTAATCATTAACATTTCTAAATATGGCATATACTTTTAACAATTGTTCTATTTCTATTAATTGGAAGCTTTATGAAAAAACTTGTTCCATCATTTTGATCTACCTATTATTTAAAAATAGAATATTCTTTTATAATAATATTTATTATTTATTCTTCTGGTTAGGTATCATAGTATAAATGAAATTTTAGAATGTTATCCTATATAAATTAAAAATAAATTTTATTCTCTTATATAAATTATCTCTTATGAAACTTTTTATTTGTAACAAAATTATCTAATTATGATAGATATAATGATCCAATTGATGTAAAATTATAAGTAAAATAAAAAATGATACAAATAATTGTATTATTATTATATTTATTTCTAAGAAATAATTGATATGTCATTTTTTATGGTTTTTAACTTTAATTTCTTCTCTTAATTGTTCTATTAGCTTTTCTTCTTCTAATTCATCTTCTTCATCTTCTTTTATTGGTAATTCATCAAACATATCTTCATCATCTTTAATTGAAGATTAATCCATTGAATGATTAGTATGAGATTAAGTAACTTATTTTTTTGGTTTGACTCTTACATTTCTTTTTAAAAATTCTTAATCTTTAATATCAATAACTGCATTAAGAATTGATTTATTTAATAATTCTTTTTATTGCTAAAATAAAATTGAATAAAATTACTATCACAGATAAATTTAATAATTTTTCCCTAATTGCATCAATAATGGCTTGAAATCCTTGATTTTTTTATAATCCTAACTTTTTCAATCCTCGAGACATCCAATTTCTAAGTTTGTTCTCTAATAATCCAGCTACTGTAGCTTTTTCTTCTACTTCCAAAACTAATTTATCTTATTCAAATTAATCTTCCTTCTATCTATATGTTTCAACCTAAAATTCTTTATCCATATCAGTATATTATTGTTTTAAATTTGAAAATTATGTTTGTAATTCTTAATTCTCATTTTTTAATATACTAATTTTCTTTTCATAATCTGATATAGAAATTAAAAGATGTGCATAAGTTTATTCTCTCCCTAAAAACTTTTAAACAATTTCATTAGCATCTGTAATCCCTGTTGATGCTTTAATCTTTTAAAATGTCATTTCTAAATCTTAATATTAAGCTATTCCTCTTTGCATTTTATTTTTTAAAAATGAATTGAGAAATTTATGGACCAATAGCAATTTTCTCCATTTCTTAAGTGCACTATCTTTTATATCTTTTGCAGCTACTTCAGCTATTTCTTATTATCTTTTTATTCTATCATCCCTCTTCTATTCTATATCTTATCTCTATTTTAAATCATCTTTAAATCTTTATAAATTCTTCTCTCTATTCTTATTTTATTACTAAATCCCTTCAGTAACTTCTTTTAGAGCCATTAAGGTCTTACTATATATTTCTTGAATTTATTATGTTCTACAAAATGGCGTAAAAATTTTACTTATATGTGCTACTATGATATTATTAAAGTGCTAATTATAGATGTCTTTCATATTAGTTTGCTCTAAGCTAATAAACCAATTAATCTTTCTTCATTCTATTTAACATATGTTCAAAGATTTTTCTATCATATTAACTTTCACTTAAAAGTTTATGCTAGTCTTCTAATTTTAATTGCAATTCTTTCTCCTTTGCTTATAAGTTATTTTAAGTTTAATTATATTAATCTACTTAAATTGTCATTGAATCAATTTCCTTTCTCATATTCTCTATATCTTTTTCCTTCTTTAACCCATTTATCTTCATCGAATCACAACTTTTTTTTAACTCTGTTAAATTGACATGAACTTCATGTGCTTCATTTACTTTCTACTATAACTAAGCATTAAACCTTTTAATCTTCAATTTATTTAGGATAATAATCATCATCAAAACCCAAAACTGATTAAAGATCATTTTTTTTTATTAATTTATCAACTGACTTAATCACAGCTAACTTTCGATATTTTTCATAATCACTCTTTTTACTTTGTCGTGTGCTTGATTTATTTGAATATAAACGTATCTATTTTTTCATATGCTAATATTTACATCTGGAAGTTCCACTGCAGACATTCTAAAATATCAAATTATAAAAAAATTATTTATTCTAACTAAAAATAATTCCTATATATTTTCATTATATCATTCATTTTATTAGTAATTTGAATCAAAAATATAAAATCTCCAAATAAAATTCAAGCTTAATGAGTATTATGTATTTAATTTTTATAGTATATTTATATAAATTAATCGGATTAGGTTAAATTAAAAATAGTATAATTCAAGATTTAAGGAATAAAAACAGTTGATATTTATAAAAGAAAGAATCTTTTAAAAGAATGAATTAAAGAAAATTAACATTAGATTTATTAAGAATAGATGAAAATAAAGAAAAATAATCATTTAAATTTAAAGTGACAAATTATTTTTGAGAGAGATTAAATAATTTTATTATGGAAATTAATTATATGAATGAAAAAATAAAATAGAATCACATTAGCATTCATCATATTAAAAAATTTAATATGAAATTCAAGAAATATCAAACAAATATTGAAATTAATTAAATAACAAATAGAATATTAATTCATAATAGGAAAACCTTTATGAAAAAGTAATTTTTTTAAATAAAAATAAAAATTGGCTGTTTCCTTCTAAATATTAAATAATGGTGAATATATAGAAAATGTTAATTTGATTAAAAACTCAATTTTGAATATTTGATTAAAATACAAGAAACAAGTATTAAATTGAATTTAAATTTGAGTATTAATTTGCTAATAAGATATAAATAAAAGAAGATATCATTAATAATTCTGAAAGTAGAAACTATAATTGAATTCATTTAAATGAAATCAATTTTTTATTTTGAATTTAACGTAATTTAATATGAATTTCATCTCTTTATAAATATCTTTAAAATATTATAAATATATTTATTTCATATTAAATAAATGATTTATTTGTCAATCAAATATGCAAATCAGTTTTCGAAATGGTTTAATTCACTGATTAAGTTTCCTCTTTATGGATTGTTTTATAATTATATTTCTTAAATAAATATTTATAAATATTAACATTTTTGTTATAAATTTAACACTAAATGAATTAAATAAAATGTAAGAAGTATTTAAAAAAGAATGGCTCTCTCCTTAATTTAAAGATTTAGATTAAGAGCTTTCAACATAAGAATGCCGAAATTTTTCAAGTATATCAGGTGCGGAAGTAAACACTCCTGAAACAAAATACAGATCAACTATAGGACCTAATAAAATGGACATGTCTAAGCTTGCAAATACGTTGCATTTTAGAAACAGAACAGCTAAATTTGAAGATGAATAAAATCAACTTTATATGGAAATAAAAAATTTATATGAAAAAGATAGTTCAATATTCCAACTCTTGTTGAACCAAAAATCTTATTTAAGACAGAAACTGTTTTTATGTACATTGTTATTATCATAGATATTCATTTATAGGATCAAGAGAAAATACCATGAATTAAAATAATAAACACAAATTTATGATTAAGTTTTGATAGACAAAATGCATTAAGCTAATTAATAAAGTTTAAAGTATTTATTTTCTCAACAATTTTGATATCAATTTAGATATTTATTAAAATATTAATTGATCATAATAAGAGATAATAATTCATTAATAGAAATCCTATTATAGATATTAATAGTGTTATTTAATAACTAATATTATTCTCATTACTAGAAAATAATTAGCCCAAATAAAATTTTTAGTATTAATTCATCCAAATTTTCCTAAATAGTTATATCCTCTTAAATTTTTTTAAAATTTACAAAATCATTGTATCAGATAAAAAAGTAAGAATTTCGAAATTTTTAGATCAAAAATTCACACTTATATGTGTCTTTTTTTCATTGATAGTATGTATTATACAAAAAAATTGTACTCAAATTTATAAATAAATTAAATTATTTTGAAGAATAATTTTGCACCTGTTTAACTAATTATATTTTTATAAGAGATAAATCAATTTAACTGAATAAAAATCTGATAAATTGTAAAATTAAAAAAAAAATAGGTTTGATTATTATTTTAAACATTATAAATCATTGTTAATCTTTAAGAAATCTCTATGGAATTCCTTTTTCTGGGTTAATCTAAGTTTTTTAATTTATATAGATACTTTATAAAATAATTTTTTGCAAAATTCTTCGAGTTAAGAGAAGGGAACAGTTATAACACCAAGTCCAATATAATTAGCCATATTATTTAAAGCACTGGCTGGTAAAGCTGTTAATTATAATAATGATGAAGTAATCCCACAAGTTAAATCATAACTACCCTCCATTAATCCATATAACTATATATATAACTTATTTTATCTTACAAAACCATTATTTGATATGAAAGGCTTACTAACCATATTCACAATAGCATCAGTAAATGAACTAGCTGCTTTTGTTATTTCAAGTGAACTATATGCTTAAAGCAAAATACCAAAGGTTGATAACTGTTAGCTTTTTAAAAATTATATAAAATCCTATTTTGAAGTTTGATTGAATTAATGAAAATATAAAACTTCATTTGTAGCTAAAATCAAATTGTTAAATGATCCAAATTTTAAGACTTAGGTTTTCAATCCCTCTACATCCAAACCTTCTGAATCAAATGAAACTATAAATTAAATTGGAAATAATTCAACTTACAAATTGAAAGGCTTCTTTTATTATATAATTTCAAAACATTCATCATCATCTTCATTCTTAAATTAAGTATTAATTTCCTTATTTTTTGTTGAAAAAGACTTAAGTAATTCTTAGGTTTAATATCCAGATAAGCAAATTCTTATAGGTTTTAATTATAAACATAATGCCAGGCTATCTTAATCAAATTATATTATCAAATCTAAAAATAATCGTTCTTTTATTAGTTCACTTTAAAAATTTTCTAATTCAATCAGGTCTTCTTCATCAAGTATATATTTAAATTTACTCAATTAAAGTCTATCTAAAATTTATGCTCTAGATAATTTAAGTTAGAAGCATTTCTGTCCAAAATCAAGTTATGTATAATAGATAATTAATTCAAATGTCTGAGATTCATTAGTTAAAGATAATTAATCACAACAAATCTCAAAAATTTTTGATTTCATTTCAATTTTATCTAACTTTTAATAATTCTTTTTTTCATCAACCTTATTATTATTTTTCTAANTTTTGCACCTGTTTAACTAATTATATTTTTATAAGAGATAAATCAATTTAACTGAATAAAAATCTGATAAATTGTAAAATTAAAAAAAAAATAGGTTTGATTATTATTTTAAACATTATAAATCATTGTTAATCTTTAAGAAATCTCTATGGAATTCCTTTTTCTGGGTTAATCTAAGTTTTTTAATTTATATAGATACTTTATAAAATAATTTTTTGCAAAATTCTTCGAGTTAAGAGAAGGGAACAGTTATAACACCAAGTCCAATATAATTAGCCATATTATTTAAAGCACTGGCTGGTAAAGCTGTTAATTATAATAATGATGAAGTAATCCCACAAGTTAAATCATAACTACCCTCCATTAATCCATATAACTATATATATAACTTATTTTATCTTACAAAACCATTATTTGATATGAAAGGCTTACTAACCATATTCACAATAGCATCAGTAAATGAACTAGCTGCTTTTGTTATTTCAAGTGAACTATATGCTTAAAGCAAAATACCAAAGGTTGATAACTGTTAGCTTTTTAAAAATTATATAAAATCCTATTTTGAAGTTTGATTGAATTAATGAAAATATAAAACTTCATTTGTAGCTAAAATCAAATTGTTAAATGATCCAAATTTTAAGACTTAGGTTTTCAATCCCTCTACATCCAAACCTTCTGAATCAAATGAAACTATAAATTAAATTGGAAATAATTCAACTTACAAATTGAAAGGCTTCTTTTATTATATAATTTCAAAACATTCATCATCATCTTCATTCTTAAATTAAGTATTAATTTCCTTATTTTTTGTTGAAAAAGACTTAAGTAATTCTTAGGTTTAATATCCAGATAAGCAAATTCTTATAGGTTTTAATTATAAACATAATGCCAGGCTATCTTAATCAAATTATATTATCAAATCTAAAAATAATCGTTCTTTTATTAGTTCACTTTAAAAATTTTCTAATTCAATCAGGTCTTCTTCATCAAGTATATATTTAAATTTACTCAATTAAAGTCTATCTAAAATTTATGCTCTAGATAATTTAAGTTAGAAGCATTTCTGTCCAAAATCAAGTTATGTATAATAGATAATTAATTCAAATGTCTGAGATTCATTAGTTAAAGATAATTAATCACAACAAATCTCAAAAATTTTTGATTTCATTTCAATTTTATCTAACTTTTAATAATTCTTTTTTTCATCAACCTTATTATTATTTTTCTAAAAATCCTTACTAATATGTTCATAATGATCAATTAAATCAGCTATTACCTATTTAGAAATCCGGAAAAATTGAATAGAATTGATATTCAAAAATTTATTTTTGAATAATTCAATTTTTTAAACCTATCCTATATTCTAGAATTCATTTAAATTTATTAATTCATCATTTCGATTAGCTGTATTACAATTTTTAAAATAATGTTAAATTTCTTCAATTTTTATTAAATCTTACTTTATTATTGCATTATTAATTACTAAAATTGATCTTGTCCAAGATTAATATAAATCTTTCGAGTAGTTCAATTTTGCTTAACCTTTTTTCTAAAGGATTATTTCCTCATTATAGAATGGTAAAATATCAATCATTATTTATTTAAATAAAATAGTTACTAATGACTTTTCATTTTATGATTTATTTTATTATACTGGCGGATTTACAAATTAAATTGAGTTTATGAATTATGTGATACAGGAAATTAATTTATCAAAATTGAAATTTGTTAAATTTAATTTGAGAGCTGAAAACTCAAGATTTATTTTGTTTTATTTCATAATAAGATTAAATATCCATTTATCTTAAACTTAATTCATCAATAACAATTATGAATTATTCTTATAAAAACCATTTAAATCTTCTAATAATATAAATTAATAATCAATAGTAAAATAATACTTGAAATGGTTGAAGCAAAAAAACATAGTTTAATATAGAGTTACTTCAATTATTTTAATTTTTGTACAAAAGTAAAAGTTCTACTGCTTTTTCTAATTATTTTATGTTTATTTTGAATTATCATTAAATACTAAGTTTAGCTAAGAAATCATCCTATAAAACTAATCAAATTAATTATGGTTTAAGAAAACACTTTCTATTTACAATTCTAAATGTTACTCTTGTTTTAATTTACATTCTTTCAAATATTGAGTTATTTATGATTTATTTTCTTCATTAAATTTCTTAATATTTGAAGTTGAAGTTTATAACTATGATCCAAAATAGCCATTCAAATTATGTATTTATATTTATTTATCTAAACCCCAAATACTTTAACATCCAAATTTGAATTAGCTTTTATATTAATATCCAGATTCAGAATTTTATTCATTTAATTCTGGAGTTGAAAGAAAGAAATCTATAATATCTAATTATATATAATCTCCATCTATTGTTTAATAATTTTAACCTATTGAAGGTTAAGCGCTGTTTACAAGATAAAATATAGAAAATTTAGTTTTGGATATTTTGAATTAGGTCTCTGATTTACCTTAGTTGTTTGGTTTTGCTGAGTTTTGAGTATAAATATTAAGTATTTTCATAATAAATTATAGTTAATTTTTGTCAATAATTAAGTTAAATTGTGTTATGTCCATGACAATACTGTTATCTTTAATTTCAAGTTTTATTGGACTAACAAAGAAAGTTTATGAAGCAAAAATAGTAGGTTCTTAAATTTCAATTTGATAAAGTTCTTTGTTCAATTCTTAAGCAAAAAATTAATCTTTCCCTGTTTTAATAATTATCTTGCAAAAAAACTTTTAAGACCCAATCATAACAAAGTCTTATTCTTATATCTAAATAAAATCTCTTGTACTACTAAATTATGGTTCTATTTTCTATAATTCATAAATTAGTAAAGAATTAATAAAAATATTTAATTTCTTATGTTTAACTATTTTTATATCAGATAATGAAACTGAGTAGTAATTTTCTAAATCAATTTTAAAATTTTTTTATTAAAAATTAAAATATTAATCTGTTTCATGAGATGTTATATAAAAAGTTAAACCTTACAAGCTAGCAACCAAAAATTCCTTTTATTCATTCATTTATTTAATTGAAATATATAAATCTGTAATTTTAGAATCTGGTATATCTTAAACAATAAAAGTACTTTCAAAATATTCTTGATTATTTATAATTTTATCATGATAAGATTTTTTAAAATACTCTTCTAATTTATATTTATTTAAATTCATAATTTTAGACAATTCTCCAGATTATTATTTATTTGAATTTCTAATTTATTAAAGATTATTGCTAAATCTTAATACTTCTTTTATTGTATTTTCTCTCTACTCCAAAACTTATGCGCTCTAAGCAAATAATTACATTATTTAATCCAATTAATTTAATGATACTATTATTTAAAATTATGAAGCTTAAATTGTTATTTTTGGTTCTGTGTCCTATTTTAAATAAACATCTAATTTTAAAGCATTATCCATTTATCCTATTTATTTAGTGTCATCAAGATAGAGTTTTAGTTAATCAACAAGACCTAAAAAAAGGATTTAATTGGTATTTTAGGGTTTCTGCATTGAACAATTGATTTTATTTATGAAAAATGAAAAACTAGTTATCTGATTAGAATTTAATTTGCCAACAAATTTTATCCGTAAATTTTTAATATCAATTTTTATATTCCCAAAAATGTTATCAATAATTCTTAAGAACATCACAGTTTTTGATGATGTTTTATTTGATCCATTTTATTAGATTGGAGTTTTGATTTCATTTGAAAAATAAGAGTCACTATTTTCACACTAAATTTATAAATACTTATTACTAAAAATTCCTTTTTTAATTATTCCATCTACATATGAACACTTTGGTTAACTAAATTTTCAACTTCTAGTGATTCTAAAACTTCTTCCTATTGAATTTTAGTATTCAAATCTAATACTACTTCTACATCACTCATTTATAATTACAGCTTTTCAAGTTTTATAAATTCTATCATTAGATAATATTATTTACTAATCTGAAACTCTTTTAAAGTGTTAGTTTTAAGCATTCCATTTATATATTTTGTGTTTAATTTAACATTTGTAATTCCTTTATTTAAATCTTTAATTGCAATTTTCTATTCAAAAATGTTTTCAAAATTATAGTCAATGATAGGTTATAATGCTTTTTCAATAATTTTTGTCTTGGCTTTAGATGCTAGTCCACCAAAAAAGGAAAACATATTATCAAACATTTGATAAATATAAAAAAAATTTTAATAAATATCAATTAGAATTATATTATAATATCTAAATGAGGTAAAAAGTAAATTATATGAATTTGAGAATTTTTATATCATTTTTATATTAAATTTAAATGTTTAAATCTTCATTATAATAATAAATCTATTATAAATAGAATTGATGCATAAATTATAAATTAAAATATAAAATTTTAATTTGATATAAGGTTTAAATAAAGAAAAACAAGAAAATAGGGATAAGTTGTTTAAAATTATATAAATTAACTATAAAATGATATATAGAATTTAAAGTTTTTTAGTGTTTAAAATACCAAGAAGAGTTTTAAGAATACAATAATCAATAATTCTATAAATTTATTTATGTTGAATAATATATTGCTTGAATTTGTATATAATTGAATATAACAGAATATTTAGGTGAGGATAAATAAAATATATTATTTTATTGTAGCTATTTAAGCTTACCTAATTAAATCTTTAATGATTAACATTAAATTAACTACTTTTATTTAACAAATAAATTCTAATCTTTAGCTTATATATAATGATATTTTATTCCTATTATTTTTATATATTAATTCTTATAAGCTAAAATTTTCTAGATCATTCAACACAATTTTAGTGAAGACGATTATCTAGAAAAAGGGATATTTATTATATATAATATAAGTATGAAATTATAAATATTTAATTTTATATCATTTTACTTTCCTTCTCCTATAAAATAAAACATAAGCTGCATCTGTTACTGGATTAGATCTTAATTCTTTGACTTAAGAATCATTAAAATCAAACCAAGCATTATACATTGGATTTTTTGCATAAGCTGTATAGTGCCCACCTCCCAAACCCCCATAGTGATTTGAAACTGCAAATAAATCATAGACATAAGGTTGTTGAGATTCCTTAATAATAAATTACAAAGAATACTTTTTCTAAAATGAAAGGTTGAATATTAAAATTTTCAAGAGGGAAATCAACATATTAGACTATCTTAGTTACTCCGCCTACAGAGTAGGTTCCATAAAATTATGTCACTCTTGTTGATCGAAATCTTTTTAGATGTAATATCATAATTTAAGGTGCCTGAATCAGATCATATAAATATTTTACCTTATATATTTACATTTACTTCTTTGCCTTTTGATGTTTTTTACATTTAGAACAATACCATTCATTTCCAACTCCTAAGACTTCTTCTTAACAAAACTAATTTAAACAATCATTCAATGTGATTGCTTACTACAGGCTTTAATTAGGAGTTTATAGTGTGAATTCTGCATCAACACATCTATTTAACTTTAAAAGTTCAGCACGTAATTTAAATTAAGCATTTAGATTGATAGACTTACCACTCACTTCAATTTATTTACTTGTAAAGGGTAATGGTTTATTATTATCATCTAATAGTTAATATATACTATCTTTTAATTTTAATAAGTCCTAATATTCCTCAAATTAATCTTTGTAAATGAATTTTTTGATATTCTTTAAGAACTATTCAAATTCTTTATTTATATTAAAATTAGAAGTGATTTCACTAATTTACATTAAATTAGTTCTAAAAATTTAGTATATCATTAGATGGAGATCTTAATAAGTGGTTTGACTATCAACATAAAAAACTCTAGTAAAAGATATCCTATAATTCTATTGATTAAGTCTACTTTCTTCTAATTTTCTAACATTACAGAGAACTTAATGATAAGGTGATTTAATTTTTGAATCATATTTAGAAACAGGTTTGTCTATTTTTTCATCATATTCTTCAAATAAAAATATTGTAGCTTAATTTTCTTTGATTTATTTAATAGTTTATTCTGGTGATATTCCATTGTCAATTATAGCTGAATCTTATAAAGAATAAAATTTTAGATATTCAGGCTTAATATTCTTAATTTTGGATATCATTTCAATAATTTCTCCAGCTGTCATAGTTGATTGCAAAGTTTGTTGAATTTTTAAAGGAGTCTCATTAGAATCTCTAAAAATTAAATAAAATTAAAATTAAATGTATTCTTTGTTTGGAATTGGTAATGAAATTGTAACAAAAGGATCAAAAGTTATAGATACATAGTTACACTCAGGACATTCTACTCTTGATTTAAATTATCCTGTAAAGAGATCTATTATTATTGAATCATTTCTCTTTTTATGATTTTCCCAATATATATCTGCAAATTCTTAATCACTTTAACCTTTGTATTCTATATCTGGTATGTATGGTTTCTTTTTAATTCTATTTAAATCTTCATGTAAACCATCTAATAAATATGAGAGTAATTCCTATGAGTCTTATTAACTATAACCATTAAATTAAGGAGCATATTATCCAATAACCTTTTTAATATTCCAAGGTGCTACACTAGTTGATGTAGATTCATAAAGATCTTTTAATAATTCAGCATAATTGCATGCTAATTTACCACCTGTTCCTAATGGGTTTTTCTCATTTAAATCTTAGAGATAAGTATTGTATATCATATATTCAGTTAATTCAGTAACATTACTCAAACATTATAAACTGGAATTCATAAAACAAGTATTTCCTAAATTACTTAATCCACATATTCCTTTGGCTGAATTTTTAATTATTTTAGCTGGAGGTCTAACTTTATATTTCTTTGCTAATTAATTAATTAAGGAATCCTTTTCCATGATTTCTAAATTAATAAAGGATAAAATTACTTTTACAAGCATCAATATGAAACTTCAAATCATTAGCTTGACAGATTTCATTACAATATTTAACACTTCTGCATTCACATAAATAGAGTTGAGATTCTTAATTACCGCAACTCATACATTTATTAGGAATTGATATTGTTTATAAATTTTCTTTTTTTTCTAATCTATATTAATCTTATTCTAATTCTAAAAGTAAAACTTCATCAGGTCCTATCTCTGATTACTAATATTATAAATAAGAATACTTCTAATATATTATCTTTACTTAACTTTGTACCCACTACTGATTAACTTTTCATAAGTTCCTCTTAATTGATCTCTTTAGGTATTTTCCAAATATTTCTAATTTTGTGATTTGTGATTCTATAAACTTTATTAATAAGATCTTCCATTCTTTCATTTCCATTAAATTATAAATTTATTATTTTTTATTAAGTTTATGGAAATAATTAACACTTAACTTAAAATAAATGTGTTTCAACTGCATGCTTACTTCTACATAAAATAATTCTTTTTATTTCCACTCCACCAAATAGATTATATAAAAATCTCCAAATTTAACTACATACAAATATAAAGTTTTAATTTTCTCTAATAGATTTATTTAAACCATAATTTGAATAGTTTTTCGCTTTTAATGGATCCTTCTCAAATTATGTATATAAATCAATTAAATCATCATTATATATTGGACAGATATGTATATCAGAAGTATTTTGTGTTGAATTTGATATTCTTTCCAATTCTTCATATGTTTAATTATTGCAATATTATTTAAAAATTTCTACAAAAGTTTCATCTTCCATTGAATTCTTTATATATATTATTATATTATCATACATTCTTTTTTGCAAGGAATGATTTCAATAAATCAGGATTTTCTTTTGTTAATTCATAATATTTTGTGTATAAACTAAAACGAGCTATCCATTAAGAACTAATTAAATAAGCAGGATAACCTTCTTATTCAAAATACCTATCGTTCTACTATTTTAGTAATAATTATTATAATTTTTTAGCCAAAACTGCTTTCTCTTCATCAATATACTTTAAAAATATTCCCTATTTATTTTCAACATAATCTTTCAAATATGATTTTTTCTATTCCAATATATTCTCTAATTAAGCCCATATTTTTTAATTCTTGCTGTTTTTTATATATTTTTATAGAGTTTCTATTTTAAGAATACATTCTTATAACTGATTCATTTTTTATAAGGATTATATTGATATCCATTCTAATTCTAATTTTCTCCATTCTACTTAATCAAATTCAAGCGAATCCTATAATGGAGTCACTTGAGAACATCCAAAGTAAGAAATTAAATGACTTAAATTAAAATCATTTAATTTATAGCTACAAAGTGCTAATAGCAATAATGCTAATGAACTGATATCTGATAAATATTTAATTAAATTTTACCATCAGTCTTTTTTTCTTAAGTACTTTGTAAACTTAATTGTGTCCTTAGAAATTATTTCAATTATTAACACACATCTACTAGATTCTTAATTTAATTTAGTTTGTACTTGTTTACCCTCCAGTCTTTCATATGCTCTCTTGATAACTCTTTCGTTACAATTATTGATGGAATCCAATAAATATTAAGGGCAAATCATTCTAATAATAATTTAAAAGAATATGTATATATATATAAATTATCATGTAAAATACTTTAATCTTTCCTTTTCTTCTTCACTGATTTCAGTTACAACTTATTCTTCTTTTTCTTCTTTTGGTGGCCATGATCTAATCATAATAGGTCTACCATATCTTTTTTAAATAATAATTTCTTTTTATTATTCTTACTATTTTTTTTACATCTCTATCAAATCTTATTCTTATTTTTCTTATTTCATTTTATCTTTTTTCATTCTAATACATCCCTTCTCTTTATCTAATACCAAATCTGGTGCAATCTATCTATATCTTTTTATTTCTAATATATATTATTCTAACTTTCTTTCTGTTTCTCTTAGCATTTCTAATCCTGACATATCTTTTCTAGGTTCTGGATTTAAATCTGACTTATACATTCTAGATATCATCATCTCTAAATTACGAAGAGATTCAAATCCCTCATTATCATTCTTAATACTTTTTAATGTCTTAATTTAATCATTTACAGATATTATTTATCTTTCTAAATCAAATTTATTTTAAATAGCATTTTATTTTTTATCTTCAAGTTCTTTTTTCTTTAAATCTACTTTTGATCTTAATTCTTCAACCATTTATTCTCTTTCTTTTGTATTTGCTATTAAAAATAAATTTCTTTCTTCTAATTATTAGAATATATCAAATAATTATTAAGGATCTTTAAAATAAGAATCAAATTCATCATCAGAATCATCCAATATTTTTTAGAGATCTGAACTAATTAAATTATCTTAAGGATTATTTTTATATTTAATTTTGATTTTTTCTTTTCTTTTGTTTTTTTATAATTCTTTCGGAGTTATTCTATCTAAAAATTTTTTGTATTTTATTAAGTCTTCTAAATTATCAACTTTTTATTAATTTTTTGTCATTAATTCTGTTCTATGTTCTTACAATAATTTAATTTCATTAGTTTTCTCTTATTTTAATCTTGTTTCATTTTCTGCTTCTTTTATTGCATCTCTAGAACTATTATTATTAGTTTCTAAAAATTTATTAAACATTTCAATATCTTCATCAATTAATTATTCACTTTATTCTAAACCTTTTCTATGCAATCTTGTTAACTTTTCATATTCATCAATCATTCCTCTTTTTTAATCAATTAGCATTGAAAATAACAGCATTTCTTTCTTTTTCTCTAAAAATTAATACATAGGTTCTCTTTATCTAATTCTATTTTTTAAAGCATTATTAGCATTTTCCACTATATTTCTTAAATCATATTCATTTGATACTTCTTTTCTTATTCTTCTTAATCAAATGATGTTTCTTCACTCTCTAAACGATCGATAGTTCTTACTGTAAAGAATCCTTTCTACTTTTTACTTTTATCTTGAATCCTTAATTTTGAAAACTTAATTCTTTCTTCAGATCTAGCTTATTTTGATTTCTCTTTCAATTTGTATATCTCATATTCATCTGGAACATAGAATGGATTATCACCATATTATAAAGATCTATCATGAATTTTTGGTAATTGAGGCTGCATAATAATTAATTTTGTTATTTCATATTAAGAAAACCATATCAATTATAGTATTTTAGTCTAATATTACCTTAAAGAAGATAAATTAATACGCTTTATTATAAATAATAGAAAATACTTTCAAACTTTCTGACTTAATTATTAATCATTAATACTTACAGAATAAAAATAAAATAATGGTCTGATACAGACAAAATATTTTAATATATTGGATTCTATTATAAATATATAATAATTAATTTATTATATATATATTCATTTGGGTTATGATATTTATTCATATGAATGATAAATTCTTCTATGTGTTTTGATACTTCTAACTTGCTCTATACAACAATCTTCTGGTACAGCTAAGTAATCAGGATCCGTCGCAGATAGTAAATTCTTTCTTGTTTATTGTAGTAGTTATTATGAAGATTTTGATTTCAGTAAAGTTTTTTGTTTTTGTGGTTAAATATATCCGAATGTAAATTTAGACATTTTAAAGAGCATTAAGGGTGAATGTTTATGAATTTGGGGGTTGAAAATAATTTTAGAAATGTCTGTATTTGCGTATATGCATATTTCTTATAGACCGCCAGGATGAGTGTATGCAAATTCTGAGAGATCATAAATGGTATTTTTATATACATAAAGTAACAAGTGATTTTATCTTGCATAAGTTTGAACAGCAGAAATATCATCAAAATAGATTGGTGATATTATTGGATTAAATTGCATAATTAAAAATATGCAACAAATCAAAAAAATTGATTTAGTCAGAAACTCAAGCAAAAACAAGAGCTTTTAAGAAATTTATGAATTTAACAAATGTGATGTAAGATCCAATAGTTTATTTAGAAATTGGGGCAAGGTTCATATGGGATGGTGTATAAAGCAGTTCATAGAGCAACTGGTTTAAGCAGAGCAGTGAAGATCATCCAAAAGGCAAGTGTAAATTAGTAAGAAAGATTGAATAATGAACTTAGAACTGTAGAATTATTGGTAATTCTGGAAACTTAGTTTATTTAAGGATCATCCACATATCATAAGAGTGTTTGAGACTTATGAAGATATGGAATATATTTACGTGGTAATGGAGTAAGTAATAAATTAAAAATTAGAATATGTAAGGGTGGTGATATCTTTGATAAAGTATTAGAATATGGTAATTTTGATGAGTAAGGAGCTTTAACAATATTTATTCAAATTATAAGATCAGTTGTCTATTACTAATCTTTGAATATAGTTCATAGAGATTTGAAACCTGAGAATTTTTTATTTTAGAAGAACAATGATTTAGATTCACTTTACATCATTGATTTTGGTTTAGCTAGAGTATTCTAACCAGGTATACAATATTAATGGACAAAAGCAGGGACGGTAAGTAATAAATATTAAATATAAGGCTTATTATGTAGCACCTGAAGTATTATAAGGTATATATGATAATAGATGTGATATATGGTCGATAGGAGTTATATTGTATGTTTTATTGTGTGGATATCCTCCTTTTTATGGAGAAAATGAACATGAAATTTTATTATCTATATAGAAAGGTAANATAATTAATTTATTATATATATATTCATTTGGGTTATGATATTTATTCATATGAATGATAAATTCTTCTATGTGTTTTGATACTTCTAACTTGCTCTATACAACAATCTTCTGGTACAGCTAAGTAATCAGGATCCGTCGCAGATAGTAAATTCTTTCTTGTTTATTGTAGTAGTTATTATGAAGATTTTGATTTCAGTAAAGTTTTTTGTTTTTGTGGTTAAATATATCCGAATGTAAATTTAGACATTTTAAAGAGCATTAAGGGTGAATGTTTATGAATTTGGGGGTTGAAAATAATTTTAGAAATGTCTGTATTTGCGTATATGCATATTTCTTATAGACCGCCAGGATGAGTGTATGCAAATTCTGAGAGATCATAAATGGTATTTTTATATACATAAAGTAACAAGTGATTTTATCTTGCATAAGTTTGAACAGCAGAAATATCATCAAAATAGATTGGTGATATTATTGGATTAAATTGCATAATTAAAAATATGCAACAAATCAAAAAAATTGATTTAGTCAGAAACTCAAGCAAAAACAAGAGCTTTTAAGAAATTTATGAATTTAACAAATGTGATGTAAGATCCAATAGTTTATTTAGAAATTGGGGCAAGGTTCATATGGGATGGTGTATAAAGCAGTTCATAGAGCAACTGGTTTAAGCAGAGCAGTGAAGATCATCCAAAAGGCAAGTGTAAATTAGTAAGAAAGATTGAATAATGAACTTAGAACTGTAGAATTATTGGTAATTCTGGAAACTTAGTTTATTTAAGGATCATCCACATATCATAAGAGTGTTTGAGACTTATGAAGATATGGAATATATTTACGTGGTAATGGAGTAAGTAATAAATTAAAAATTAGAATATGTAAGGGTGGTGATATCTTTGATAAAGTATTAGAATATGGTAATTTTGATGAGTAAGGAGCTTTAACAATATTTATTCAAATTATAAGATCAGTTGTCTATTACTAATCTTTGAATATAGTTCATAGAGATTTGAAACCTGAGAATTTTTTATTTTAGAAGAACAATGATTTAGATTCACTTTACATCATTGATTTTGGTTTAGCTAGAGTATTCTAACCAGGTATACAATATTAATGGACAAAAGCAGGGACGGTAAGTAATAAATATTAAATATAAGGCTTATTATGTAGCACCTGAAGTATTATAAGGTATATATGATAATAGATGTGATATATGGTCGATAGGAGTTATATTGTATGTTTTATTGTGTGGATATCCTCCTTTTTATGGAGAAAATGAACATGAAATTTTATTATCTATATAGAAAGGTAAATTTGATTTTGATGGGCCTGAGTGGAAGAATGTATCAATGGAAGTTAAACAATTAATTTGTTAAATATTATAGCCAAAAATATAAAGGATAGATTTAAAAACCATATTAAAACATCTTTGGGTATAAAAATATGTTTAGAAAGGAGAAATATTACTAACCAAATATCATGTAGATAGATGGAAGCAATATCATATATTAAAATAAATAGGATTATTGTACTTATCAACTCAATTAGATTAAAGTGAAATTTTGGAAATTAAGAATGGTTTTCTCTTTATGAATAGATCTTAATCTGGTATATTGAGTAAAGAAGAGATAAACTTTTTGGACGATGAATTTTAAACTTTGGAATATTATCGTAATTATTTGAATTTAATTTAGAATTTATATCACTTTGTTTGGAACCAATTATTTATAAAAATGAAAAATACTAGAAATTAATGTTTGTACATTTATCAATAGATGGTCGAATAACAACAAATAGTTTGAGAAGTATTCAAATATATTTAGAATGTGAAATGGATTATTAACAATTTATTAATTTATTTTGATTAACATAAATATTTATAAGTGAATCAATTTTTAACAATATATATATTTATAGAGAATTTATTAAATGCAAAGAACATCATCGAATCTTTCAATATTAAATGTTTGGTTTAATTTAGAAAAGGCTTTGATTGATGCATAAGTATTTGAAAATGAACAGGTTTAAATAATTTCAAGGCCACCTACATCAAAGATGATGAGAGATTATTCAAATTATCACTCAGTATGAGAATGGTTTGAACTTTAGCAACAAAGAACTTAATCTTTAAGACCTTTGACTGGATTGAAAAGACCTTCAACTGCAATTACAATGAAGAAACATATTGAATATTAAGATAAAACAGCAACAATTTAATAATCTTAAAGAAAGATTTTTAGAAAAAAAGTATATCAAAAGACCTTATAAAAAATATGGTTTTGATAATATTCATAATTAAAAGTAATATTGAGACATATTATAGGGAGGAATAAGAAGCTGAGATCTCAGAAGAAGAATTAAATTAATCAACAGTTATACATAATGTAGATGTGGATTAAATAATAGATTTATATCATAGTAAATGAAGAGAAAGAGAACTTGAATATTAACCTAAAAATGCTGTTTTATTTATAGAAAAATTTAAGAAATTGTGCATAGANGCTAGAGTATTCTAACCAGGTATACAATATTAATGGACAAAAGCAGGGACGGTAAGTAATAAATATTAAATATAAGGCTTATTATGTAGCACCTGAAGTATTATAAGGTATATATGATAATAGATGTGATATATGGTCGATAGGAGTTATATTGTATGTTTTATTGTGTGGATATCCTCCTTTTTATGGAGAAAATGAACATGAAATTTTATTATCTATATAGAAAGGTAAATTTGATTTTGATGGGCCTGAGTGGAAGAATGTATCAATGGAAGTTAAACAATTAATTTGTTAAATATTATAGCCAAAAATATAAAGGATAGATTTAAAAACCATATTAAAACATCTTTGGGTATAAAAATATGTTTAGAAAGGAGAAATATTACTAACCAAATATCATGTAGATAGATGGAAGCAATATCATATATTAAAATAAATAGGATTATTGTACTTATCAACTCAATTAGATTAAAGTGAAATTTTGGAAATTAAGAATGGTTTTCTCTTTATGAATAGATCTTAATCTGGTATATTGAGTAAAGAAGAGATAAACTTTTTGGACGATGAATTTTAAACTTTGGAATATTATCGTAATTATTTGAATTTAATTTAGAATTTATATCACTTTGTTTGGAACCAATTATTTATAAAAATGAAAAATACTAGAAATTAATGTTTGTACATTTATCAATAGATGGTCGAATAACAACAAATAGTTTGAGAAGTATTCAAATATATTTAGAATGTGAAATGGATTATTAACAATTTATTAATTTATTTTGATTAACATAAATATTTATAAGTGAATCAATTTTTAACAATATATATATTTATAGAGAATTTATTAAATGCAAAGAACATCATCGAATCTTTCAATATTAAATGTTTGGTTTAATTTAGAAAAGGCTTTGATTGATGCATAAGTATTTGAAAATGAACAGGTTTAAATAATTTCAAGGCCACCTACATCAAAGATGATGAGAGATTATTCAAATTATCACTCAGTATGAGAATGGTTTGAACTTTAGCAACAAAGAACTTAATCTTTAAGACCTTTGACTGGATTGAAAAGACCTTCAACTGCAATTACAATGAAGAAACATATTGAATATTAAGATAAAACAGCAACAATTTAATAATCTTAAAGAAAGATTTTTAGAAAAAAAGTATATCAAAAGACCTTATAAAAAATATGGTTTTGATAATATTCATAATTAAAAGTAATATTGAGACATATTATAGGGAGGAATAAGAAGCTGAGATCTCAGAAGAAGAATTAAATTAATCAACAGTTATACATAATGTAGATGTGGATTAAATAATAGATTTATATCATAGTAAATGAAGAGAAAGAGAACTTGAATATTAACCTAAAAATGCTGTTTTATTTATAGAAAAATTTAAGAAATTGTGCATAGAAGAATAATTTATATGTGAAGACAATTAATTAGGTTTAGAGAGTGCAAAAACAGTAAGAGCTATATTACTCTATAATAATCATTTTTTAACCTTGAAATTAGCAAGAAATGCTTTAGGAGATGAAGGTCTAATGGAATTGATAGAGATGTGAATAAATAAAAATATAGTTCATATTGATTTATCAAGTAATAATATAACAGCAGACGGAGCATTTAATTATTTAATGGTTTAGAATTATCAAGTAAGGATGGTTTGAATAGGAATAAATTATCTGTTAAAGGATGTGAACCAATTGAAACTATTTTAAAATACATTTCTAGGTTTGAGAGGAACTTCAATATAAAATGATGGTTTTGAGTGTATTAAATTGAACATGTATTGACATCTAAAATACCATTAACTTATTTATCAATGGCTATATGTAGTATTAATGCTTCAGGATCAGAGTATATAGTTATTGGTGTTGAAAGAAATAGAACACTTAAAACACTTATGGTAAGAGATAATAGATTGACTGATAAAGGAGCAGAGTGTATATTTAAAGGATTATTTTTTGACAAAATAGATTTGAAAAGATGCAATCTTACAGATAAATGTACATTAGGTTTATGTAATATGATTAAATAAAGTACTTAATTAACAACATTATTATTACCTGATAATTACCTGATAATGGTTTTCATGATTCTTCAGGAATTTCTGTATGTGAAGCTATTAGAGTTAATTCTTCAATGTAATTATTATCAAATACTTAGATTAAATATAGATATTTGTGAAAATCCGTTGAGTTATAAATATATTGACTAAATTAATAAAGTTGTTGAAACCAATCGATTGAAATTTGAAATTGATAGAGTTCCGATGTATAAAAGAGAAATTGTTAAACTTAATAACATTATTTAAATGAAACCATCCTTAGAAAAAGGTTTAAATGAAAATTAGTAAAAAAAAGCAAGATCTCTTTAAACATTAGAAAAAGCAATTGAAGAAAAAAATAAAGTTAAAATAGAATAAATATAAAAAACTAGTGATATGGATATTAGATTATAATAAATAATAAAAATCAAGATAATGGATATTGATAAAATTAAATTTGATAATGAATCAAATATGTATTTAATTAAAGTGGATGATGAAATAAATGATTATTAAAAGAAAATGTCTGAATCTCATTAAGTAATTAATCGTTTAGAAAAAGAAATAAGGGGTTTAAAGGATTAAAGACATGTTCGTAAAGGTCAAAAGTGATTCTAGATTGGAAATGCTTAGACAATTAAACAGAGCAGAAGAAAGAGCACTGTAGAGAGCAGATATGGAGAAAAAAACAACTGGAAGAAAGGATAAAGGCTATATAAGGAAAAGAATCCATTACTAGTAGAAGGAAAACTAAGTAAAAGTCTTAAATTATTTAATAAAAATAATGAATAAAAAATATACATCATCCAACTTAAATCCGAAAGTCTTAGACGATAGAGATGAAATTAACTTTGGAACTTCTTTTATTGACGCTATCTTGGATTAAAAACTTTTTGAATATTTAACTGCCTTTCTTGATACTTTGAGTCTTATTCATTTTTAGCTATCATCAAAAGTATTCAAGATCAGACATTGGAAAAATTATTTTAAGAAAGTTATGTTTAATAGATTATTGAAGCCATTGGATCATAAATTAATCTCCTAGTTTATCATTGATCAAAAATGTGTATAATTTATTTTTTGGGATTCAGTAATTGATTTTAAAAGATTAAACTTATAATATTCTCATCAATACAAGTATTACTCATGTCAATAAACAGTGGAAGCATCTAATATATAAAAAGATATAGATCGTACATTTTCATAACATTAATATTTCAAATAAATTCATAATAGATAAAGATTATAAAGAATTCTTATAGCCTTATCTAAAATACAAGAATAAATTGGTTATATTTAAGGATTTAATTAAATAGCAGGTTGTTTTTTAATTAATGGTCTTAATGAATAACAGACCTTTTGGATTATGTATTATATTTTAAAAAAAATGAAATACTCAACAATATTCTAAGATTAATTTAATGAACTAAACTTTTTGAATTTTACAGTGGCTGTTTTTCTAAGGAATTATGTACCATCTTTATCTAATGAATTTGTAAATCTTATTACATATTTAGTTATAAAATAAAATAGATATTGGAATTATAACAACTAGATGGTTTTTAGTGATTTTTGGCTATGATTTACCCTAATAATTAGTAAGAATATTTAAATATTATAGTTAATATAAATTTGGAATATGTTCTTATTAAAAGGTATTAAAATATTAATAAGAGCTTCAATTGCAATATTTAAATTAATTTCTGATTTTGAAGGAATCAATGATTTATATGAATTACTAAAAGATAATCTCTATGATTTATTAGAAACTAATGTTTAATTATAATAGAAGTTCATTGAATATTTCTCGAAAATTAAAATAACTAATCGTTTAATAGAAGAATTGAGAGAAAAATTTGAAACTGGAGATGAATCATTAAGTCTTTCATTTGATTAAATCTAAAAAAAGCATTATTGGAGAAAAGGTGGAGATAGTGCTAGAAGTTTAATTAGCTCATTTAATGAAATCATTAGTGAAATTTAAGAAGAGAAAGATGCATGTTTTTAAAGATCTTAGTTGTTTATGAATGCTTTTTTCCCAAAGCTTATAAATTAATTAGTAGCTTCAGAAGGTAAAAAGAATTTAGCCATTAAATTTGAAAAGAGACCATAGTTGATAAAACGATAGATTATATCTTAACAATTTAAAATGTCTATTCCATAATCTGCTAATGGAGATTAAGTATTAATTAAAATTATAAGGAATCTAATATTTATGCTGATGAACTCCAGAGTAGAATGAGTCCAAAAGAGGATGAATCAATAGAACTTGAATGCACTCCAGAAAAAATCTTTAAATTTTCAAATAAAAAAAGATGAATTAATATAATCATAATTTATATTAATCTACCTTTTTAAAATCATAATTATGTAAATTATGTATATTATTTATTCAAAGAAATATAAAATTAGATGGAATTTTTCAATCAGTTTAGAAATGAATGAAGCATATGAAAATTATATTCTAAATACTTTAATTATATTTTTCGGAATAGAAAATATAATAAAAAAATAATATCTTTTTATTAAATATAATATGCATCATAATATAGTTGTATCACAAGAAATAAGACCTAATAAAGTCTATTTGGTAACGTATCCGGATGGATCTCAACGCTATGTAAAAAAGTATTTAGCATAATAATATCAAAATATATTCGATGTAAAATTAAAAAATATATTTAGGTCTTAAACACACTTAAATAGTAAAAATTTAGAAACATTGTGAAAATTTTTGATGTTATTATTGAAAACAATGAATTAATATGTGTTTATGAAGAGGCTTGTAAATAGAATCTGAGAGAGATTATAAAGTCCAATGAGAAAACTTTTGATACATAAGATATATTAAAATGCTTGTTAGATATTATTGGAGGATTATTAGAATTGAAAAACCTTAATATTTTTCATAGGGATATTAAACCAGACAACATAGTATACAATGGATAGGATTATAAAATTATTGACTTTGAAACAGCAAAAAGATTTCAGGATGATAGAACAAAAGTCTAATCTGTAGACATAGGGTTAATTTATATTTTTATCTTAGAACTATTAATTATAGAGCACCAGAAATAAATCAAAATAGAGCCTATTCCTCCTAATGCGATGTTTGGAGTTTAGGATGCTTATTTTATTATATGCTTTTTAAATAGGAAGGAGATCACATGTAATAACTTTCTATTCCCTAAAATCATTATTATGATGATAAAATTATTAAAATACTTAAAAGTATGTTAGAAAAAAATGAAACAAAAAGAATAAGGTTAGATAATCTTCAAAAAGAAGTATAGGAACTCCATAATATTTATAACAATCCAACCTAATCTACAGGATTGGAATAAAATACGACAAATTTGGTTTCTGATATAAATACAACAATAGATAAAAGACATAATAATATAAACACATTCAATAACATTATGACTAAATTAATTTTTAAAGAAAAGAATGAATAAAAAATAATAAAATTATACTAATTTTGGACTAAAAGACTTGAAACAAAATTCTCAGAGGAAATACAATAAAGATAAAAGATTGAAAAATTATTATTAATGTAAATATAGGAATTTAAGTAAAAAAGGATATAAATTGATGTATTTGCTTCTATTGATTAAATTAAAAATGAATTGAATTGCATATAAGATTTAAAAGACTTTTATGATTTTTGATCATACATTATATTTAAACAAAAACTATCTTTATTTTCTAACTATTTTAAAATATAGCATAACATAAATGTTTAAGCTGCTTATATTTAATTAAAAAATAAAAATGTATAAACCTCTCATTATTCTTAAGATTATTGTTAAAATAATAATTATTATTAATATTGTGACTGAGAGATTTTGTATTAACAATCTTACTTTTTGCCTTGTTCAAAGATTGTATGTTCAGTTTCACATATACCACATAAAATTTTTCTAGTTGGACTTAATCTCAAAGTTTTCTTGCAAACATTTGATTTATGTCCAACTTCCTAACAAGATTTGCAAATAACTGGTTTAACATTTATTTCACTTTATTTGAATGTAACCTGTTCTTGTTTTAATTTAGAATAAAATTTCTCTGTAAATTTGAGTTCTTATGTTCTATCATTCAAGTCGAATAATTTGACATGTTACATTTTGCATTCAGGTCCATCCTTACAAAATCCATATACATAATCCATACATAATTTCCTTACTATGTGTTTTCTAAAAGTTTTGATACAAATTTAACTTATCACATGAAGATCCCAAATAACAAAATCCTTTGTCATAATCAGGACATGGCCAATATTTATGTTCTAAAGGACATTAAAGTTTCATGCAAATATCTTTCTAAAATTCCATGCATAAGGGCTTATCTTTAGGACCTGAAGGATTAAACATTTTTTTAATGAAATCTAAAATAATTTAAATAGTATATTTTAATCATTTCTTCTTTTTAATTTTCCTATCATTTAATGAGCCTAATAACATCCACATATTTTCATCATTAGGATAGCCAATGACTGGATAGTCGGAATGTGATTCTTCCTTTATTTATGGAAGTTAATCTTGAATTAGAATTTATAATTACTAATTTATGGTAAAGATTATTTATGAGGCTATTATGGTGGAAATAAAATATCAAGACTTAATTTGAATGCATCATCTAACATTCTTGGAATATACATTTTTAATAATGGACTTGATTCTTCTATACATGGATTTGTATTAACTTCAATTAACCATACTTCCTAATCTGCATCTAATATGAAATCAAATCCAAAAATCTCAAAACAATACTTTCTGTCTTCAAAATTAATTTTACTACGTACAGAATTAAACACCATCCAAATTCTTTCTTTCATCTTATTAATAAGCTTAAATTAATAAAATAAATTACATCCTATACATTACATGCAATATTCTATGATTTTAAATATTCTTAATAATTTTTAAAGGATAGTTAATTACCATCCTCAAATTCTCCATAATTTTTTGAATACTTTTAAATCGCATTGTTTGTTAAATGAACAAAAGTATTCTCAATATTATATGTAAAATCTTCAGAAGATGTTCTAATATATCCTTCTTAAAAAAAATATGCATCTAATTCATGATTTACTAACCCCCAAACTCTAATATCAAATTTTCTTTTATTAATTAAAGCTGGTCTCTCAATATATTTTTGAATCACAAATGAATGAGATTTTATAATACAAGGTCCTGATGGTTATTATCTAATATATTAATTTGGATCTTTCTTAGTTCCTTATGCGCTTTAAACCTACTTAGGAGGATCTTCTTCATCAGAAGATTCATCTTTCTAATTCAATGCTTTTTCTTTTAATCCTTCCTAAAAATCAGACACTAATTTTATTAAGGTTTCTAAGTCATCAAATATTTATATCCCTCTTCCTCTATTTAAAAATGTTGGTTTTAATAACCACATATAGGGTGAATCTTCAGATAAAAATGTTCTATTCATTTGAATTTTTTAAAATTAAGAACTTGAATCTCTTTAATAGGCATTAGTAAAATTTCCTCTTAATCTTCTCTTAAAGTCTAACATCTATTTTGCTGTTGGTTTTTTTGGANTTCTAAAGGACATTAAAGTTTCATGCAAATATCTTTCTAAAATTCCATGCATAAGGGCTTATCTTTAGGACCTGAAGGATTAAACATTTTTTTAATGAAATCTAAAATAATTTAAATAGTATATTTTAATCATTTCTTCTTTTTAATTTTCCTATCATTTAATGAGCCTAATAACATCCACATATTTTCATCATTAGGATAGCCAATGACTGGATAGTCGGAATGTGATTCTTCCTTTATTTATGGAAGTTAATCTTGAATTAGAATTTATAATTACTAATTTATGGTAAAGATTATTTATGAGGCTATTATGGTGGAAATAAAATATCAAGACTTAATTTGAATGCATCATCTAACATTCTTGGAATATACATTTTTAATAATGGACTTGATTCTTCTATACATGGATTTGTATTAACTTCAATTAACCATACTTCCTAATCTGCATCTAATATGAAATCAAATCCAAAAATCTCAAAACAATACTTTCTGTCTTCAAAATTAATTTTACTACGTACAGAATTAAACACCATCCAAATTCTTTCTTTCATCTTATTAATAAGCTTAAATTAATAAAATAAATTACATCCTATACATTACATGCAATATTCTATGATTTTAAATATTCTTAATAATTTTTAAAGGATAGTTAATTACCATCCTCAAATTCTCCATAATTTTTTGAATACTTTTAAATCGCATTGTTTGTTAAATGAACAAAAGTATTCTCAATATTATATGTAAAATCTTCAGAAGATGTTCTAATATATCCTTCTTAAAAAAAATATGCATCTAATTCATGATTTACTAACCCCCAAACTCTAATATCAAATTTTCTTTTATTAATTAAAGCTGGTCTCTCAATATATTTTTGAATCACAAATGAATGAGATTTTATAATACAAGGTCCTGATGGTTATTATCTAATATATTAATTTGGATCTTTCTTAGTTCCTTATGCGCTTTAAACCTACTTAGGAGGATCTTCTTCATCAGAAGATTCATCTTTCTAATTCAATGCTTTTTCTTTTAATCCTTCCTAAAAATCAGACACTAATTTTATTAAGGTTTCTAAGTCATCAAATATTTATATCCCTCTTCCTCTATTTAAAAATGTTGGTTTTAATAACCACATATAGGGTGAATCTTCAGATAAAAATGTTCTATTCATTTGAATTTTTTAAAATTAAGAACTTGAATCTCTTTAATAGGCATTAGTAAAATTTCCTCTTAATCTTCTCTTAAAGTCTAACATCTATTTTGCTGTTGGTTTTTTTGGAGCAAATTATTCATAAGTCTTAAGAAATTAAATAATATTGTAATCGCAATTCTCATCATTGAAATCAATCACAAATGTTAATGGAGTATAATCAAATACGTTTAATTTATGCTTCTAATAATATACATATATTTATCAATATTTACTTCGCAGTATTAAGACAGATTTTTAATCAGATAAGATTTATTTGAAATTTCTTTATGATGTTCAAAATGATTAACGAGTTATTTATAATTTTAACTTACTATCAATCTTTCATATCTATAGCCTCTTTCACTTTATTGCCATTTAAAATTAACAAACATCGAACTAGAGTCAGTCGTTTCCTTCCATTATGTTCTTTTAGACATGACTCGCTTTACAAGAGCTTCATTATTGCCCCATCCAACGAAGTACTATTTAATGTAAACTGATTTTATTACTTTTAAACAAAACTCTTAAGGAGCTGGTTTGAATTGATTTCTCTTTTTTGAAAAACTAATTGATTTAGGATTTAATTTTCTAGTAACATTAGGTAATGACTCTTAATTTTATTATAAACTTTCCTTTGTTTTACTCTTTTTATGTTATAATGATTATTATATAAATTAAGGCTTTACTTAAGGACTTTAAGACTTACATTTTGTCTCAGTTTTATTTCTTGGTCTCCTTATCTCTACATTTATAGTTGATTCTTCAGACAAATTCATTAGAATAAATACCTGAAAACAATTAAATATTTATATAATTATAAAATATATCTTAATTTATAAGGAAATGACATAATAACATTTATATTAAATTCATTATTGAAATAATAAAATAAAAATGAGTATATTTATATAATTTATTCAGTTTATTCAAGTAATTCGTTCACCAATTTTTAGTTTCTTGAACCCTTTAATTTTTTGACATTTCTTTAAATGATTTACTTAAATTATTAATTAATAAATCATTTACTTTTTAAGAGATTCATTCTTTTGAATTGATCTTATAGTTTTACTAAATCCTTCAGACTATTTTTCAAGTAATTTATTTTGTAAAGTTATATTAAATTCATACATAGAATTTCAGGAATCAATAATTGATCTTGGAGATTTTTATGATATATCATCTTTTGGATTTAAGTAAGATTGTTTATAAACTTTTTAATGAATTTTTTTAATTTAATTGTGTGGTACTATCCCTGGAGAAATAAGCAAAGACTTTCTCACTTTAGATTAAATCTATTTATCATGAAAAGGATCTTCAACATGAAAATCTGTTATGAATTTAATTAATTCTAAGTCATTATTTATATATTAGTTTTTTAAGTAATATTTTTTAATAAATGGAACTATTTATTTGACATTTCTAAAACTGTGCAAAGATTGTTAATTATCAATATTTTTATATTAAGAATTTAAAAATATTTTCCTTTTGGCTTTTTCATTTTAAATAAAATCTCTAGTTTGTAATTCATCTTTATATTCTATTTGCTTTTTAATTTATTTAGAGTTTAATAGCCGATATTTAAGTAGGATATCAATTTAATATCATACATTTATTTAATAACACAAACATTTTTTAATTCCCGACTTCTTTTTATAATCTTCCTCTTCCTTTCTTTTCATTAATTTAATTATGATTTATAATCGAAGAATCTGGAAATCTGTATTTCATCTAACACCTCGATATTGTTTCTTTTAACCTCCATAATTTGATGTTATAACAAAGACTACTATAAAATTCTAAATTGCTCACCTGCGGATCCAGAACAAAAAATAAAACAAGAATATTATAAATTAGCAAAATAATACCACCCTGACATCAATAAAGGAAATGAAGAGAAATTTAAATAAATAAATGAAGCATGGGATGTACTAAATCCAATTTAATTATTAGGTATTATCTGATAAACATAAAAAATAATAATACGATTCTGCAAGATCCTATAGCAATAATAATGAAACAAGTTTTAGAAATGATTAAGAACATGGATAATAATAGAATTATGAAGAATTTATTAGAAAACAAGGTCCAAATGGGTTTTATCAATAATATACATATAGAAGTAATTACTTAAAATTTATATAAGGTAATAGTGATTCCTAACAATTTTCAAAATAATAAATGGAAGAAATGTAAAGATAAGCTTAAGAATTTATGAATTTGTTTTAAAATGGCCAATTCACTTAGTTCTCTTCAGCATTTAGATAAGCCACAAAAGGAGATCCAAAATTTAATAAGGTTCATACATTTATGAATTTTGCTGAAATGGCAGGAAAATTATATCAAGAAAGGTAGAAATAACAAATGGAAAATGAAATAAAAAGATAACAAAATATTTAATCTTTTACAAATAAAGAGGAGAAACTTAAAGAATCCTTGGATAATATAAAAAGTGGAATTAAAGGTTTATGGGATTAATTTACTAAAAAATGAATTTATATATTAATTTAATTATTATTACATATTTAATTAATTGTTTTAAATTAACAATTATTTTGTGAATCATACCACAAAATTATTATAAGAATTATATAAATAATAAATTAGAATTTTTATTTTAGTAATTAAAAATAAATAAATAAGATTTTAATTTTAATTTGATTAATTACCATCATTAATTACTTCTGTTTGTATCCATTTTAGAACTAAATGATATTGACAAACTTTCTGAGTTTCTTTTATTTCTTGTTTAACTAGTACTTCTTTTGAATTAAGTATTCTCTATATTAATTAAACTTAAAATTGTATTGATTCCTTATGATGTCTTATCTCCAATAGAAAAATAGTTTGACTTTGTGATTGAATTAGTTTCCCTTTATCTCCAACTTAAATTACTTCCATATATATGTTCTTTCAATACTCTAGAAGATTTTAATCTATTTGCACTGCCTTAACTCTATCATATATTATATAAATTACATTGCTTAAATCTGTAAACTAATTCACTTCCTTAAATTTACAAAAATTTGGAGCAATCATATCATTTTTTTTACACCTTAAACAAATTCTATGATCAAAAGGAGGGAATATATCTTCATTTTATTAATCAGTTTGTACAGCATGATCATTTATTTATATTCTTCCTGAACTGCTATAATTTTAAACTGATGAAGCTTATTCTTAACTTGTATTATTATTATCATCTTCAATAAAAATATGTTGATTTTTTTTAATGATTCCTGTTGGTCTTTTTTATGAATTAGATTCTTATGATTCATCTAAATCTTTTGAGAATTTAGCCACTTCTCTATAAAAGCTTTATTTAATAGAAGAGGCTGGAGAGTTAGTATAGCAGTTGGGACTTTTATGTTAACCTCTTGGAGGTTTTTAACAATTACGATTTTATTATGAATCATATCTATTTTAAAGGTGCAATTAGTCTTGTAAATAATTTATCTATTTATCGTATTATTAAACTAAGTCTTAAATAATCTATTCATATTGTTATTATGTTTTAACAATAGATGATGATTCCTAAACTAATGGTATTTTCTTCTAAAATGATTTTTCATTTTCTTTTAATTACTAAAAGTTTACAGAAGAATTTAAGACATCTTTGACTTATTCTAATTCCTTTGCAAATTAAAGCGACTTTTTATCATTCTCTATTTTGTATTATAATAAATCTTATTATTTCTAAAATTCTAACTAATCAATTTATCTTTGTTAAAGCATAATCTCATGTTTTTATTTGGATATTGCTTATTAAAGTTCTTAGATTTCAGATTATTTTTCCTAAATGTATTTATAAATTTATACTTCAAGAATACAATTGTATTCCTATTAAATTTCATTGTTTTATTGTTCATACTAAGCAGAATTACTATCTAATTCTTCTTAAAGTTCTTAGATCAAATTTTATTTTTCTAAAATAGCCTAAAAAATACAAATTAAATAATTACTAATTCTAATTATGAAGTTTAAAGTTTTAACTTATCAAATAATTAAGATTATTATTGATATTATACTTGTGCTTAATCTAAAGCAAGTTTAGTAACTTTAATTTCATTCAAATAATTAATTTCTTATTATTTCAATTACTCTTATAATATATTAAGTTTTTAATTTAAAATTTGATTTTCATTCTAAAGAGATGTTTCTTTTTCAATCATTTTATGACTTTCCAATAATTTTTCTTATTCTTTTATTTAAAACTTCTATTAAAATTCCTATGATTATGATAATAATTTTTTTAATCTATTTTCTGTTTATACTTTATATTCTTTATATTCTTTTTATAATTCATTGTATTTAATTTAATACTTAATATCTTCATCTAATTCTTTAATATCAGAATTTTAGGTATTATTCATTTCATAACTTTCTTTCAATTATTTTTATAATGCATCATTCAACCTCATTTATTTTTTAATTTCATTTTATTGATTATTAATTGAATTTTAAAGATCTTAAATTTAATTTCTTAATTATCTCAATTATTCATCTTATTCTTTTTATTTATCTGATAAATTTGAATTCTATTATTAAGTATTATTTAATTCAGATTCTAATTATTATATTCTTTTTGATTAAGATTTGGATAATTGTATATATTAATTGATTTCATCATTTTCATTATTTTTAGATTAATATAATATTGATTCTAACTCATTATTTTATTTATTAAGTCTTTCAATAATTGACAAATAATTTTCACATTAATCTTCTAATTTTAATCTGATATCATTTAATTCATTTACATCATTTTTGTATTTTTACAATTCTTTATATAAATTTGTATTACTCTTTTAAAGTTATTTAATTTAATGAGTATACATTTATAATTAATTATTGTAAACTTAATTCTCTTTTTCAACTTCAATACTATTATTTAGAATATTTTTCATTTTATCTTGAAGTTGCAATTTTTCTTAATGTTTCTCATCAATTCTTTGTTTGATTTAATTTTATATTTGTTTATTTTCCTTCATTATAATATCATTTTCTTATTTTACTTCATCAATTTCTTTTTAATATTTGAAAATCTAATTATGTAAATCTTTTATTTTGCATTCTTCACTATTAACCATTTAATCTAAATAATCAAATACATAATTTAATAGATTTCCATTTGATTTTGGTTAAGGAATTCTAAATCTCTCTAATTAATTGAATATCAATTATTCATGATCTCTCCATTATTCCCATAAAGTATTATTTTATAATTATTAAATTATTTGATTTTTCTCTTCCAATTATTAGCTTAACATCATATTTATTTTCTATTCATTTTTAAATAGACTATTTTAATATTCTTAAGAATTAAGTTTCTATTCTTATAATTATAAGGTAATTCTATTGTATTCACTCATAGACAATAATTTAAAGTCCATAGATACTAGGTCTAATCTTTTATCCTTTAAAGCTAACACTTATTATTCAACTTCTTGGAACACCTGAGCAGCAGCTTCAACTTCTTAAGAAGACACTGTTTATTGACTAATATGATATAGGGCACTTATCATTACTTTTCAAATACGTTTTCAATTTCTAGAGTTATCTTTTGATTAAATTCAATTAATTTTCTTATAAAAGTCAACACCTCTTTGATTTAATCTTCATCTTGTTTTTATAATTTATTAATCTCCCTTGTTATGATTGTGGCCATAGATATTTTCGATTCTTTGAATCTAGCATATTCCAAATCAATCTAATTTTAAATATTAACCATTTCTTATTTGTAATGAGTTAACTTTTTATTATATTCTTTTAACTTCAATCTATTTTTATTATTAGTCAGTATTATTTAAGGACCTGTGCTATCTTCTTTCAAGAAAGACTCATTAACAGATGACTTATTTTGTACACCACTAACTTCCCTGAAATCTCTTAATAATTGATCCATGAATTAAACCTTGCTCATTTTGAATTTGTATAAATATTAATTTGTTCGTTAATATATATATATATTTTGTAAATTACACACCATCTCAAAAAAGATCAGTTATTAAAATGCAAGATCAAAAAGGAAAATTGTACAAGAAAAAAAAGTGTTAAATCTACTAAAAAATTATAAGAGATTCCCTCCATTTCTACTCCAAGAAAACCCAAGAAAAACGACTAAATATTATCATAGAGTAGTCCCATAACTGGTACTTCAAAAAATACAATTGAAACTAAACGAAGCATGTAACCTGGAGAATTAAAATCTTTCAGAAAAAGTAATAAGATTTATAAATTAGAAAATCACCAATAATCCAATATAAAGATACCTTTATTCACTAAAAAATTAAAATATAATAAAAAATTGTCAATTCAAAAATTTATAAAGGAAAACTAATAATCTAATTTTATAAAAGAGAAGCTTATGCAATAGAAAATTGTGAATTAAAAATAAAAAAAGTATTATTTAGACTTAAATATGTTTTTAGATTATTCAATCTATAAAAATTATAAATAAAAACTAATTAAATATTTGAAAATACTAAAAAATTAAAGTAGAAAACATAGATGAAAAAAAAGTTGAAAAGATTCAAATTATATGAAATTATCAAAAGGTTTTAAGAAATTTCCAAAAGATATGAAAAAATTTAACTTAATTAAATTGCAAAATTTTAATCTAAAGTAGTTAAGTATTCACAATCTTACAAACCTTAAACTAACAATGAAACCTAAATCAATATTAATTAAGTAGAAAAATTTAATAAATTTAATTTACATCAAGCAGCCTTTTAATTTAAAACAAATGTAAAGAATTTAAAAAGAAAGAATATTCTTAAACTAAATTATAATAAATCAATTTATATTGGGAACCATAATAAGTATCACCAAGTAAATTTGAGGATGACTTTCCTTTTTATTAAGTAGGAGAAAATAAGTTCATATTTCAAATTTTAGAAGTTCAATCATTTCTGAAGATTCTTCATCTTTTGTGAATTAATTAGATTAGGAATTTGATAATTAGAATGTCTTTACTTAAAGAATAGTTGAATATGAAGATACTTCTAGCATTAACAAATAAATGCAATAATAAATTATATCTATAGTTTAAAAGTTAAAATAGTATGGAAATATTGCAAATAAAATAAGTGAAAATGAAATTTTGAAGGAGAGAAGTATAAATAATCATTAAAAAATATCCAGTGAGGATCTTACTAAAACTTATATACTCTAATTATAATGACAATTGTAATAAGAATAAAACTTAATATTAAATTACAGAAAAGAAGCACTAAACCTCAGATACAATATTGAATAAAAAAGTACTACATAAAAAGATTAGTAATTACTTGATGAATGGCTCAATAGAGAATTAGAAGATTTATAAAATACAAGAAAGGCTTTTGAAATTAGACAAAGGAGAGAAATATCAACGTTAAAAAAAATTCAAAGAGATATACTGATTACTTCTGCAGAACCTTAGTTTGATTTATAAGATAGCTTATTGATCTAATAAATATAATAATATATAGATGAATAATTTATTGGTCTAAAAGTTACGAAATAGAATTAGAAATCATTTAAGAATATCTAAGAAACTGTAAATGTTTTATCCATAGAAATCATAAATGAAATGATAACAGATTTTTCTGAAGAAATATTAAATAAAAAGGATGACCTTTATCTAATAATTTCATAACTTTTTATGGATTATAATAACCTCTTTGTATTCCTACTTCAATATCTGATATCGAATAATATAGATAACTTATTCAAATATATTTTGGATCATCATAAATAATCCTTAATTAAAAATATGAATACTCCTTTTGGATTTACACCTTTGGAAAGATTGAGACTGATACATGGAAATTAAGAAGACGAAGTAAATAATGATGGTTAAGAATTCCAAAAAACAATTGATTATCCACTAGATGAAACTATATATATTGAATATAAAAATTAGAGAAAATGCATGACTAAAAATGATGATGAAATAGAATGGGCTATTTTAGAATTACAGCGTATTCATAATATAGCTATCTTTGATGCTTGTAATGAAGTTTTAAATCATTATAGACCATATTATTAAAGTAATAATTTAAATTACATTATAAAGATTCAGATATAAAACATTCATGGGAACAAAATAGAATAAATTTATAATAAATATCAAATGAAAATATAACTTAATTATTGGAAAAAGTGAAATTAATAGTATCAAAATAGAGTAAAGTTTTATGGGGTTTTTATCCACCTGAAGATTTCGAAACTGTTAAATAAGAGAAATAAGATATAATTGATGAGAAACATATATTAATGCTCATGTAGCAGTTAAGTTAAGTGGAGAATCCTTTATAAGTGGATACAAATGTCTAATTTGATAATTTGGATTTAATTAGAGATGAATAGTTATACAAATTACTTAAAGAGGATGTAAACTATTTATAACATATATTAGATTAAAGAATAGGAATACAAGTGGGATTTGATTGAGAATAATAGAGTTGAATACTTAATGGAGTTGAGTGATCAAATTCTAGAGACTCTTATAGATGAATTCTCGAAAGAAATATGATTGCTTTTCTTATATTGATAATATATAATATGAGAATTTATGTATTTAATTATAAATATATATAATTAGAATCTGAGTGATGTTGACAGAAAATATATAAATAAATTCAGGACATTCAAGTATGATCCATGATATTAAATACGATTATTATGGTGATAAATTAGCTAGTTGTGGAAGTGATGGATTTATGAATGTTTATGACGTGTCAAAAAAATAATAAGTTGCTCAAATTAAGATGTACATAAATTAATATTATATTATAGTCGTGATTCTCCTTTATTTTCATTATCTTGGTCACATCCTAGATTTGGTAATGTTATTGCAACCTCATCATATGATGGAGAAATTTCAATTTTTAAAGAATAAAAAGATTGGATAAAAATAGCTTGTTTTTAGAATGAAGGCAGTGTTAATTGTGTATAATTTATGCCTAGAGAATTATTTTTGGCTTGTGGCACATCAGATGGATTTGTAATTTTATTAGATAATAATAAAAATTGGGATTTAGATAATAAATGGCAAGCACATGAATCAACAATACATGGATTATGCTGGAATTAAGATGGTTCATTATTAGCCACTTGCAGTGCTGATAAATAAATTAAAATCTGGGAATTTACAAAAAATAATAAACCATAATTGAAATATACAATTAAATCTCATTTAGATGTAGTAAAGGACGTTCAATTTCATCCTTTAGAAAATAATATTCTTGTTTCAGGAGGAGATGTAATTATAAATTTATATTTATAGGATGGAAAACTTAGAATTCATAAATTAGAGGATGATGCAGTTGAGATATAAGTGATAGATTATCATATTACCATATGGAGAATTACATTTAATATATTGGGAAATTTATTAACAATAAATGGAGAAAGTAATGGTTAAAGTAAAGTTTAAACACTAAAATAAGAGAATAATTTTTAATATAGTACCATTGATTGCTATTGATTATGTATAAATGAAAATGAAATTATATCAACTAGTTAAATTTACATTTATATTTGCTTCTTTAGCTAATCTTAAAATTGCTGCCATTCTAACAGCTTTCTTAGCTGCTTCATCTAGATCTTCAGTAAACATCATATTAAATCCTGACTCTTCTATTAATTTCTTAGCCTCATCTAATTTTGTTCCTTTCATTCTTAATACCATAGGTTTCTTCATTCCTAAAACTGTCAAACCTTTTAATAATCCCAATACTATTTAATCACATCTTAAAAATAATTATTTTAAATTACCTTGCTATACCAGCAAATATATTGACAAGAATAGCTTCAACATTAGGATCTTTATCCATAATTTTAAGTGCAGATACAATTTCTTAATCAGTTGCTTTCCCACCAACATCTAAGAAATTAGCTGGTGATCCATCATATTATTTAATTAAATCCATTGTAGCCATAGCTAATCCTGCACCATTAACCATACAACCTATATTTCCATCTAAAGCAATATAATTTAATCCATGTTTTTATGCTTCAACTTCTTTCCAATCTTTTTATCTTACATCTTCCATATGAAAGATAGCATGTTGTCTAAATTAAGAGTTATCATCAATATTAAGCTTTTAATCACAAATAATTAAATTTCCTTATAAATCAATACCAAGTGGATTAATTTCTAATAATGTTGCATCTGTTTATAAAAAGATATCAAACATTTTTTTCAAAATCTAAAATGATTAAACATATAATTACATCTTTCATCTAATTATGCTATATTGGATTCAATTTATAAACTTTTGAAACCTATTCATAAATGGAAAAATCAATGTCATCAACATTATTAGGCATTTCAATTGAGAATTTCTTAATATAATTAGGATCACACTCTTCTATATGTATACCTCCCTTTTCAGAAGCTACAATTCCTAATCCTCCTGTATTTCTGTCTAACAGAATTGACAAATACAATTCCTTTCTTAAGAAATTTCTTTCTACTATGTAAACCATTTCACACTTCTTTCCTAAATTTCCTGTTTGTTTTGTTATTAAAGTGTTTCCCAACATTTTACTAGCATATTCTCTTACATCATCAGGAGTTGAGGCAATGTGAATTCCCTAAATAGATATTCACAGGTACACTATTAAATCCATTTTCTTTGAAATATCCTTTTCCTCTTCCACCAGTATGACATTAAGCTTTTACAACCACATCTGTGAATGAATTTCTATCTGATCCCTCTTATATGATTTTTAAAGCTGCCTTATGTGCTTCATCTGGAGTCTTGCAAATTCTTCCAGGAGGTATTGGGAGTGAAAACGATTTGAAAAATTCTGCTGTTTAATACTCATGAAGAGAGAGGAAATATTTGGGTATACGATTAAATCTAAACATTAAAGATATTGATTATATTATATAATTTCATTACCATAATCTATTGTGCATATTTTCCAATTATTCTATATCTTTATTATTATTATCTAATTTTTACAAAATGTTATCAAATTAAGAATAAGATCCTTCAAATCCTGATTCATTCACATTATTTTCAAATCTTCTAACTTCTAAAAACTATCTCAAATGTCCATTTTCACCTATAGTAGGTACTTTTATTAAATCAAGCAAATATTATTATAGATTTACACATCTAACATTAGGATTTATCTATTATAAAGCTGCAGTAGTCTTATAAGGTAATTATGGTAATAAGGGATATCTAAAAATAGAATATTTAAATTTTTTACCTCTATTTTAATATACTATGAAGTTCATCAAATTGACTGAATCTTTTCCAAATTGTATGCTTTGAATCTCCTGAACCAATCATAAATGAATATCTAATGAATTTTTCACCATCTTTTCCAACAACTTCTTCAAATCCTGTATTTTTAATATGTAATTTAATTATCAATTCACTTTCTTTAATTACTCTAGCTTATAAATTTTTAATCTAATCTTCTAAATATTGAGACATTCCAATAAATTTAAATAAAGCAGAAACATGATATTAACGATCATTTAATAATACTTTCATAAAGATTTCTAAATCCTGTTTTCTTTCCTCTATTTCTTCATTTGACATCTTAATTAAAGATTTTTGAGGGAAAGGAGGAAAGTATTTAATTTCAGTAATATTTTTCATTAGTTCACTAAATTCATAGAATTCCTTAAATCTTCTTTAAACAATAAGAGTTTCATCTTCATATTATGTCATCAATGTATATTGTACATAAGTTTCTGTAAGATTTTTAATTGTTTGAAATTCTGTAATTCGAACATCTAAATAAGGTAAATATTATGATTGGATATCCCATTTATATTTCTTATTTGGCTAATTCTTTCTAACTATCATTGATGATTTATGTAGATTTTAGGCATGATTTGCTAATTTCATTTCTTCAATAAGTATTCTTTCTGAATTTTGTAATTATATAAATTCAACAAATGAAGGTGTAATCAATTCTAATTTACTAATAATAAAGTTAAAGTATTTTTAAATTTAATTTATTAGCATTAAATCTTAACTTTCTTACATCTATTTTATTAAGAAATTGACTTATAATAAATCATTAGAATGCAGTTCAAAATAATCATTATTCTCAAATACATATTATTAATGATGATAGAAGATTTCAGAAATCCTTTTTTTTAATTTATATTGTTTATCTGCTCCTATGATGATACTTTAAAATAATTAGAAATTAATTACACATCTAATTTAATTTCAATATCATCATCTACTATGTTCCATTATTTTTTGACATCTATTTTTAATAAAAAAGAACTTTAAGAATCTAAATTAAGTATCTAGAATACTATTGACTGTAGAAGTTCTTGGTCTTTGCGATTCTGATAAATCGATCATTGGTAATTCGCTCCTCCAAAAACCTAAAGCTTCAAATTCCGCTAGATCTTATCGTCTAATAAAGAGAGTGAAGATGATAAGGATAGTATAATCAAGAACTCGAAACACAAGTAAAGTATATTCAAATATTTTCCCATTCTATAAAAATTCATATAAAAATTAATACATAGAAAATGAGTAATGCCAGTGTGATACTTAAAAATAACCAATTTAGGACCCAATATATTTTATGTGCAAAGAACATAGGTACCTATTTCTTGTATTCATATGTCTAAAATTAAATAGAATCATACCATTAAAATAATTTGCATGATAATAGCTGATATATTTACAAAGAGTACTCCAGAGATGTAATAATTTTAATCTTCATCTTAGATTATCATTAGAATAAATTCAACGAATTCAGCAGCTCTGAGTAGTTAATAAATTTACTAATATCTAAAGTTAATAGTGTAATCCGCAAAATGATTGAATAATTAAAAGGGAGTGGTTCAGCTTGAATATTGGATCTCAAATCATAGAATCGTGCTGCCATTCCTATAATAAAGAGAACACTAATAGAAGCAGGAAGCAAATAACTAAATACAATTAAAGCAGTCCAATTTGGCATTTTAATATTAAATATTTCTTTTGCAATTATTTAAAAATTAAATTATCTAATTTATGCTATCTACAGCTGCAGGTTTCTAATCAATGCTCAAAGAAGTATGTTAAAAATTATTAAAATTCTAAGGGGGCTCGACATTATCAAGGATTAGAAGAAGCCATCCTCAAAAATATTCAAGCATGTAAAGAAATCTCTAACATGACTAAAACTTCATTGGGCCCTAATGGAATGAAAAAAATGGTTGTGAATCATATTGATAAAATATTTGTTACAAGTGATGCAGCAACAATTCTTAAAGAAATGGAAATTTAACATCCTGCCGCCAAGATGATCCTTATGGCTGCCAAAATGCAAGAGACTGAATAAGGTGATGCTACAAATTTTGTTATTACTCTAGCTGGAGAGTTATTGTAATAAGCTGAAAGTTTAATAAAACTAGGATTACATCCAAGGTAAAAATACTCAAAATACATTATTTTAGCTAAATTGTGGTTGGATATGAAACAGCATTGAAAAAGGCATTAGACTTATTAGAAGAATAAAAAGTATGGGAAATAAATGATGTTGCTGATGAATAATAAGTCTTTTAAGCAATTAGAACTTCTATGAGTAGTAAATTGTCAGAGTAAATTTCTAAATAAAAGATAATAGTTATTCAAATCTTATTGCTGGTCTTGTAGCTAAAGCATGTATTAGATGTTTACCAAGAGAAAAGTCTAATTTTGATTCTGAATATGTTAGAGTTACTAAAATATTGGGTGGATCTGTTTTGGATAGTCATGTTTTATCTGGATTAATTGTAACTAGAAATGTTGAAGGACAAATTAACAGATTAGAAAATCCTAAAATTTGTGTATTTAATGCACCATTAGATCCATAATCATAAGAAACTAAAGGAACTGTTTTAATTAAAAATGCTACAGAATTAATGAACTATACAAAGAGTGAAGAAGAATTAGCTGAAAAGATAGTCAAAAGTATTGCAGATGCAGGAGTTAATTTAATTGTTGCTGGAGGAAGTATTTCAGAATTAGTATTACATTTTGTGGAAAAATATAAAATGATGATTGTGAAAGTTTAATCAAAATTTGAATTAAAACGATTATGTAAAGCAGTTGGAGCTAGTGCTTTATCTAGATTATCTGCACCTATGCCAGATGAATTAGGAACATGTGATCGTGTCCATGTACAAGAAATTGGTAGTCAAAAAGTTACTATTTTCGAAAAGCAAAGTGACACTTGCAAATTAGCAACTATTGTTTTAAGGGGAGCTACCTAAAATCTTTTAGATGATATTGAAAGAGCCATTGATGATGGAGTTAATTGTTATAGATCATTAATTAAAGATTCAAGATTTGTTTATGGTGGAGGTGCAACTGAAATTGTAATATTCATTTCTCTATCCATTTTAGAAATTAGCTTAATAATTAGAATTAGAAGCAAATAAAATTAAAACTATAGATTAATATGCTTATAGATAATATGCTTAAGCTTTTGAAATTATACCAAGAATCTTAATTGATAATGCTGGTCTTGCTCAAAATGAAATGATGGCTCAATTACACAAATTAAATTCTGAAAAACCTCATTCACTAAATATTTCTGTATATATCTATCTCTAATTTAGAATGGAACATTAACTCCATCTAATGAATTAAAGGTATTAGATCATCTAAAAACTAAATGGTGGGCTATCAAATTAGCTACAGATGCTGCCATAACAATCTTGAGAGTAGATTAAGTATCATTATTTTTAATATTAAGATTATTATTGCTAAACCAGCTGGAGGACCTAAGATGCCAGATAGAGGACATTGGGATGATTAAGATTGAATGTGATCCAATAATAAATCATAATATCGATATTATCAATCATTTTCTTTTACATTTACTTATATTCTTTAATCATTTATATATTGATAGTTTTTTCATCTTTATTATCTGTATATTGATATTAAGAACATATTTATATATTTGATTAGTTTAAAATTATAGTTATCCCTCTTTCTATGAAAGAATATGGTTATTTATATTTTGTATTATTTTTAAATAAAAAAATTCTAATTCATTTTTATATTATTGGTAATAATTTATATAAAGTAGATTAGCTTGATTTATTATTTTGAATAGAGGAATTATACTTTTTAATAAATATTATATTAAAAGTTTATTGATATATTAAAAACTAATTAATTAGTTGTGATTTATTAAATCTCTTTTATAAATTTTCTAATGAGTACGAAAACCCACTAAAGAATTCTAACCTTCATAAAAAAATATAAAGACGAGTAAATGCATCATATTTAAGTTTAGATTGAATCCATCTACTGGAATTGATGAATTTGCAGATTTATTGAACGAATTTTTTTCGTCATTCAATTCAGATTCATCAAGAAGAGAAAAGGTTGATTTAATGCTTGAAAATCTTGTTTTAGATGATGATAGCAAACTTGTTGAAGGAGGTAAGAAAAATGAATTATAAAAAAGATTTATAAAAATATGTGGAGAGATTAATTGATTTCGTTGAAGGACAAAGTGATGATCCATTAGAAAAAAATAATCTTAAGCAACGAAGCTCTTCAGGTAGTTCAGATGAGGATGATAATAGAGGTCATAATAAATAATAAAATAAACATAAAAGAGATAGAAGCAGAGATAGGGAAAAGAATAAAAAATCCAAAAAAAATTAAAAAAATACAAACATTATTTCAGAATTATAAAAAGCATTAGGGAAAGATATGAATATTAAAGATTTACTTTAATCCATAGCCAATAATAATAATCGTAAATAATAACACAATAATAATAATAAAAATATTGTCTTTTTAAAAAATGTACCTAGAGAAATGAGATCATATACAGAAATAGAATCCTTACTTTAAGGCAGAGGAGAATTAACCAAAATTCAATTATTAGGAAAGTAATTATTAGATTTAATTTTAGAGTTCCTTCTGTCTAATTTAAGAATCATAGTGATGCCTAAGCTTTATTTGATAAATTTATAGTTCATAAAGGAGTTAAAATTGAGTTTACTTAAAGTTTAAATAAAGTATATAAATAATGTTATAAAATAATAGCAGTAACACTAAGATGATAATAAGAATAATAAAATTATTGTATTAGATAAAGAAGGAAAAAAAGTATCTAACCAATCTAGTTAACCAGCAGCTCCTCTCTAATAAGAATAATAATAATAGGTTATATAAAAATAAGACTCAAAAATGGAAGAAGAAACTGATTAAAAAAAAAGCAAAGAAGAACAAGAATTAAATACTCAAATTGAATAAATTAAAGGATAAGCTAAAACATTAATTGTAGATAAATTAAGATTAGCTTTTTTATTAATTAAAAGGAAGGATAATTATCCTCCTTAATTAAGTGTTGAAATTGATTAATTAAAAAAGTAATAAATTAAAAAAAAAATTTAGATTATTAACCTAGAAGAAGGAAGAGATATCTAAAATGAATTCTTTGGAATAACTCAAATCAGAATTACATTGGTTAAACGAGAACTATGATTACACTTTATTAATTACTCAAATACCAGAATAACTATTTAAAGATAAGACTGTTACTAAGGTACTAAATGAAGAATTCTAAGTAATCATTTAAATAATTTCTTAGAAATATGGAAAAATTGATAATTTATAAATCAAAATCAAAGATAAAGCTGCTCATCTTAAATTCTTTAGTTTTGATTCAGCAGAAAAAGTATTTGAATTTTATTATTTTATTTAGGCTTATTATCAAGCAAACGAAAATTCTAATTTAAAGGTTGAGTTTTTAAATTAAGGAATTAAAAAGGTACTTATTGCCTAAAGCTGAAAATTTATAAATCATAATATTAATGTAAATAAATCATTTCTTTAATTAAACAAATATATTAAAATAATGTATTCTTTTTTAAGAAAAATAATTAAAGCTAAATTGTTATCCTATTTTTAAATACGATCATATTTTATATGTGATATATTCATTCATATTATTTAATCTGTTTATTTTAGTGCAAATATTAAAATATATTTTCTTTAATAATTATTTTTTATTCTAAAATTATCTTAATATAGATATGTCTTTATTCAAAATAAATTATATGTATAACTTTAATTTATATTAACTCATAATTAGAAAAGAAGTGGTTCATTGGTGGGAAACACAAAACAAAATTTCTTATAAGCTGAAAATAACACTTAAAAATATATTAAAACAAACACCAATACTTTTAAGGTGCTTCGTTTTTTTGTATTAGATCTAATATGCTTATTAACTTTATAAAATAATTTAAAGAAGTGTAATGATAGAATTTATTAAAATATCAAAATTATTTAATAATGTAATGAAAAAGCAAAATTCTTAGATTTATCTAAAGGATTATAGAATATATGAATTAAATGTTTAAAAAGTTAAGATTAAGTAGGAAAAGATAAAAAAACTAAAAACTTCAATAATACTTTTGACTGGTAGTAAATACCTATTCAATTGTAATTTTTTGAATTAAATAATAAAAATGATTAAATTACAAATTATATAAATATATTATCAAGAAAATATATTTTAGATTATAGATATATTGAATATAAATTCAAAAGACGATAAATTAAATATAAAAAGTTAAAAAATAAGATATTAATTAAATATGATATATAAGATTCTGTTCTCCATATAATAATTAAAATATTTCTTTTCATAAATAAATAATCAATTTTGATGATGAATCGGTACTCCTTATATTTTAAAGATAATCATTTAGAAGATTCCTATCAAAAATATTGGCTAGAGATCAATAGAAGACCTCTTTTAAAAAGGTTGATAATCTCCACAACTTTAGTTCAAATCGCAGATCTATTGTAAATTATTGTTACAGCAAAATATGAGGTATTAACTTGGAATTATGTGCTTGTGCATTACTTATTTGAAATTATTTTGAATCTACTACTAATCGTAATAATAATATATTAACCTAAATACATAAGAAAAGGACTCTTATTATATAATCATTTTTTTGCCACTGCTTTTGTAGCCATTGAATATCTGGAAGCTATGTATTCAATAAATTATTCAAAGATAATTTAATTAGGAATAATAGGATCATAATTTATAATAATTTTGTCTTCTGACTTTATTGAGGCTGCATACTAAGCAAGCATTTTTCCTTCAATATACTTATTTATGTGGTCATATGGATAGGAACAGATTTATTATTCTGGTATAGTTGCAGTCATCTTATCAGGATTGGTTTTGTTATAATGTTTATATGATCATTAAGTTGCTTTGAGATCGTAATTTTAATTGGGTTTTATTGATAATCAATGGGAAAATATATTTACATAATTAATTGGTGAATAATATTTAATATTTTATTTTGATAATGCTACATTTAGTTTTCAATTATCAAATTCTAAAAATTATATTTACAAAATTGATACAACTTAATAGCTTAAAGTATATTTGAGATCTATAAAACTAAACAAAAAATAAAATTTTGAGTAATTTTGTTTTGAATAAATTAAAAATCATAAAAACTTTTCTAGAGATGATCTTAAATAGAATTTATCAATTTTATTTTAGGGTAAAACACAAATAATTCAATATTCAATATTTTATAGTGTTCGACCTATAATTCTTTTATAAGTTATTTCTAAAGATAAGAACAGCAATTAAACAGAAATACAAATTGATAAAAAGATAAAATTAGATTCAAACTATTAATTTAAATATAAAAGGTTTATATATTTGTTATACTAACCACTTAAAAAGAAATGTAATGATATATCTATATCGCTTAATCTTTTATCAAAAATTAGAAAAATCTGTCTATATGCAAATTTATAAGAATATATCACTCCTCATAGCATTTTGTCAGTATAAATTTTCTAATTAGAATATTTATTTTAAAAAATTAATTTTATATATGCAGATTATGAGATATAAATTGATAATAAAATCAATTTAATTACAAATAACAAAGAACTTTTATTAATGTTTTTCATTGAAATAATAGAAAAAACAATATCAAAACATTTGAAGATAACAACATTAATATAAGAGAATTTTTTAATCTTTATCAAATTTACCTGCTACTACTCCAAAAAATCTTTAGATTAGTTAATGCACAGAGTAAACCATTACTCAAATTTTATAAATAGCATAGAATTTGAAGATTAATGTATAATTAAAAAATTATTTTAGTTATTGGGCTCTATATTCGAAATATATCCTTAGATATCGGAAGTAAATTTTCTTTACTACCATCCAATCAAAACTAATTATATTAAAATATACTTAATACTGAACGTTCTTGATTTCACAAATAATTTATAAGATATTTTATTTCATTCAATTATTTTTTAATATTATTAGTAAAATGAAAACATAAGATTTATAAAAGAGAAAATATTTGTTAAGACTCTTAAATTGCCATCTAGTTAATCTAGTAAACAATTTCTAAATTAAATTTTTTTATTGTGTATGACTCTTAAATTGCCAGAATATAAATTTTTAATTTAATAATTCACTAATTTACAATAATATATAAATATTAAAAAAATGAATGAAACATATTAAAGTCTGGTTTAATAATATTTTGAAAAATTGAAAAAAGTGCTTCCTCAAAAACAAAACTATTTAAAAGAGACTCTTTCAAAATTCTAAGGATAAGATAAATAATGTTTTGGAGATCACATCGTTGCTTTTAAATCAGGAATGCAAATAAAATAAAGTAAAATTAAGGAATTGACTTTATCAACCCTAATTGTATAATTTAATTACATTATAGATATTAGTATCAAAAGGTTATATTGATGGATGTTTAATGGATAATACAAATAACTTTTAATAATTTGAAACGATGGAAATTATAGATGCTACAGGGAAAAAAAAAGAATAATAGATGAATGTGATAGAATCATTAATACATCTTGTGTAATAATGCTTGGTAGAAAAGGATGAAATAATTTCATTAGCATTAAAATTTTTGATATCACTTGTAATGAATCCTTTTTGTAATATGTAATAACATGAGTTAACAAAAATTATTAAAACTGTTGTGTATGTTTATGCACAATCAAAGTCTTAAAATATTGATAGATTATGCAAAAGCATTTTCTTATAAATAATATTAATAACATTTTAAGGAAGTAATTGTGAAAGCATTGTTAAGATGACTTTAAATAGTATAATAAATAAAGTTTCAGATAATAAATAATGTTAATATTGTGGAAAACAAGGGAAATTCGAATGTAGATAAAATAAAGTAACAGTGTGTTCTTATGGATGCAAGAAGAATATTTAAGAGACTTTAGAATTACAATAGAGAAATTATGAAAATGCTTAGAATGTCTTTGATTTGCTGATTAGACTCTTATCTCCAAAATAGTAATTTCAATAATAAAGAAATCAAATAATTTTACTAGAGGGTATTTATTTCATTTGTGACAATTATGATTCCTGTGTGGAAACTAAAAGTATATACAATTTAAGTTCATATTTGTTGAAATTCTGTTTACAAAATGAATACTAGTTATACTCATTAAGTTTTAAAATCTTTTAAAGATTGACATTTAGTAAACATAAAGAAATGATAAACTAAATTAATATCTTTATTAACTAAATCTATCTCAGTATTCTCGAAAATAAAAATACTACCGATTAACATAAAACAACAACATTAGAATCTTTATGGAATATATTTCAAAGAAAACACGCCTCTCTTGAGTTTTACTTGAATTACGATTGCAGCATAAAGCATGAATTTTTAATGGAAAATATCATTAATACATTACATATTATCTTTTAATAAAATGAATAATTTCGTCCATTGATTACATAAATATATCAAGCAATAATTATAGGCATAGATTAAACCTTTAATGAAAAGGCTATCAATGTTTCTTAATAGGAGTAATAATAGCCTTAAGATATTGATGAAACTATATTTATAAACTAATTAGAAATGTAAAGATAATAAAAATAAGAAATATAAAAAGGAGTATATCTCTTTAAAAAAAATCCTGAAAAAGGAATGTCATTTTTAATAAAGGCAAATATTATATAAAATGATCCAGCTTCCATTGCTAGATTTTTATTAGAGAATAAAAGTTTACCAAAGGAATCTGTAGGTTAATATCTAGGTGGTCATCATTAAATTAATATATAAGTTTTAAGTCAATATACTAATTTTTTAACTTTTCATAATTTATCTGTAGAATAAGCTTTAAGATAATATTTGGATTTATTTACTTTACCTCCAGAATCATAGTAGATTGATAGAGTTGTGTAAAAGTTTGCAGATAAATTCTATGAAGACAACTAAAATAATTAGAATTTCCACTTTAAATCTAGTAGCAGCATTTATACTTTTACATATCTTTTAGTAATGTTATAAACAGATTTACATAATCCTAAAGTTGTTGAGAAAATGAAATTAACAGACTTTATAAAACTAGCTAGATAAATAAATGATGGTGAAGATTTACCTTAAGAATATCTTACAATTACTTATCATTCAATTTAAAAAAATCCACTTGCTGTTAGAGAATCTGATACATCAATGAATCCACTTACACCTAACTAATATTAAAAATAGATGGAAGAACTCTTAAAGAAAATTAAAGAATTAATAAAAAGATAATCTGATACTAATTATATATAAATAGATTAAGAAACAATATTGTTATCTAAGGGTCTTCTTGAATCATTTTCAGGCAAATTTTTAGAAATTTTATTAGTTACTTTTGAAAGTAATCTTAATGGTGATGCTATTATAAAAAGTATACTTTAATTGATTAGATTATCTTCTAAATTATCAATGAAAATAGAAAATCTAGTATAAGATGTTGTAAAAGTTGGTTTAAATAGTATAAAGAAAGGAAATGGTATGTTAATGATTGGTTTATTATCTATAATTCCAATAATTGGTAATTCTCTACATGAATAAGGATGGAAATGTGTTTTAGAGGCAGTGAGTTTAATGGATGAACAAAGATAATTAGATTCAGATCATACAGATAAAGTGTTTATGTGTTCAAAAGATTTAGATAATTCATCAATTGAGGAATTTATTATTCAACTATGTTAATTATCAAAATAAGAAATATTTTAAAAACATAGAATATATTCATTATAAAAACTTGTTGAAGTTAGTGATTATAATATGGATAGAGTAAAAGTCATATGGAATAGATTATGGTCTATTGTAAGTAATCATATTTAAGAAGCTGTTGCAATTAGAGTTAAATCCATTACTATTTTTGCTGTTGATTCATTAAAATAACTGAATATCAAATTCTTATAAAAAGAAGAATTATATAATATTCAATTTTAAAGAGAGGTATTAAAACCATTTGAAATAATTTACATAAATAGTGATATTGATGAAAAAGAGTTTGTATTATTATGTGTTAAGTAAATTCTCCAAAATAGTAAGACATACATAAAAAGTGGATATAAAGTAATATTTAATCTAATTAATCTTGGATTAAAAGAAGAAAATGATAAAATATCTAAATTAGCATTTGATCTATTAAAATTCATTGAAATATAAGAATTGATATTGATTGATTTGATTTAAACTTATTAAATATTAGGTAAAAAGGATAATGAATATATGGCAATAAATTCAATAGAATTTGTAAAGCAATGTTAACGCTTTATGATAACATAAGAGTAATAAACCTTATAAGTCCCTCTCTTAGGAATTCTATCGAATTTAGCAGGTGATAAAAGAATTCAAATTTAAACTTAAGCTGTGGAAACATTATTTTATATTTTAGAAGAGAAAGGCAGTTTATTTAATGAGGAGTATTGGATAATGATATTTTCTTCTGTTTTAAGACCAATATTTGATGAAATTTAATTTACTTTAAGCACAAATCCAGAACTCAATTAATATTGGTTTAAGGATAGTTGTCAAAAAGTGTTTTAAAATATTTCAAGTCTCATTAAAAAGCATTACACAAAGTTAAAAGGATAATTACCAGATTTTCTAAAATTATTTTAAAATTGCATTCAAAATTAAAATGAAAAATTAGCACAATTAAGTATTTAGGCTTTTAAAACCATGATTATGGATAAAGGACTATAATTTGAATAAAAAGATTGGGAATAAATTTTATTATTTATATAGTAAATGCTTAAATATACAATACCAACTAAACTTAAGGATATTGATTAATCAACTATTAAATAAGAATAATAAATTATAGGAATACTGAAGAAATAAAAATCAATATAAAGTATCACTAATAATATTATAAATGAATGTTATAGTTAGTGTGCTTCCTAATTACTATTAATTTAAACTAGCAAAGATATTTGTGAGCTTTATCATTAAAATTGGAATTTAAATCAATTAGACAATCTAGAGAAGACCTTTTATGAATCATATTAATTTGCAAAATTTTTTAATCAATAAATAGAACAAAGGTATAATATTTGGAAGTCAGGATTCATGCAAGATATGAATGTGTTACCTGGTTTACTGAGATAAGAAAGAGAAGCATTTTCTTGTATGATTATGATTATATAATTTAAAATGAAAATGTTAAAATAAGAATAGTAATAATAATCAAAGGAATAGTTAAACATATAGTAATAATTGAATTAAGAGTAAATAAAAGAATAATTAATAAAGGAATAATAATTAAGATAATAATATGAAATAGTTTTAAATAGATATTTATAAATCTTATTGGATTCTATTAAGTAATTTAATACTAAGCATATTTAATTTGTTAATCAATAATAAGATACTGGTGATGATCCTCTAATTAAAATAAAATAATATGAGACAGAAAGAGATATGTAAAATCTCAGAACTTTATTAGATGTTTCTATTTTGCCAAAAATTTTATTGTTGAGTGATGAAGAGGTAGTATGATTTAATAATTTAGATAAAATTAAAATAAAATGAATTTTATGAATAATTACTGAATGCATGTAGTTTTGTTAGCGAATTTTGTATCTTATAAATGAGTTGTTAGGACTGTAAAAAATGTGGTAGATGCTTGAATTAATAGAAAAATAATTTATTTTTTCAAATTAAGAAATGCTTACTAAAATTGTTTGAGTTAAAATGATTATATATTATTTTTAAATGGATTAAATATTTATTTCTGGTATTGCAGGAGGCTCAGCTGGAATTATTACAGATTTCATCTTTTTTCCTATTGAAACAATCAAGACTAGAATATAAGCATCCAATAATAAAATTGATTATTTCAAAACAGCAGCCAAAGTAAATAAATACAAAGGAGTATAGTCATCTTATGTATTATTTGAAGTTTCTGTCATAAATCACAGTATCCTTTCCATCAGCGTTTATATTTTTCTCAACTTATGATACATCTAAAAAATATGGTTTTTCACATATGCTAGCTGGAGCATTAGGTGAATTCGTTACAAACATATTCAGAAATCCTTTTGAAGTTGTTAAAAATCAAATGTAAGTAGGATTAGATGCAAATGTAAGAGATACTTTAAGATCAATTTATTATGGATAAGGATTTAGAGGTTTTTATGCAGGATTTACTACCATAATATTGAGAGAAATACCATTTAGTGCAATTTAATTTCCAATTTATGAAAATATGAAAATACATTTTGGAAATGATGATTTTGGAGATCATGCTTTGAATGGAGCAGTAGCAGGTGGTACAGCAGCTTTTTTAACAACTCCATGTGATGTTGTTAAATCTAAATTAATGACTTAAAGAAATCAATTTTATGATTCATTAAGAGGCTGTATTAAGTCCATTTATGAAACAGAAGGAATTCTAGGTTTCTTTAGAGCTGCCCATATAAGAACAATGTAGATCTCAGTATCTGGAATTGTATTTTTTAGTGCATATGAAAGATGTAAATTTTATATTTCATCATTCAATAATAGATCATGATTATAGCTTTTTATTGAGATATTCTAATAGTGAATAAGAATTTAGGACATTTTCCAATCTATCGACAAAAGATATATGTTTTCCATGTATTATTCTGTATGTTTTGCTCTCTTCTACTGTAAGTTTTTCTTTTATCACTTGAAATCCTCCATTCTGTAAAATTTATGGTAAATGATATTCACTACTCATCTTATTCTATAGTGTATATTTCCTTGAATGTTTTCCCTTAACTTATATTTCTAGTTTATCCCATGTTTCCTTTGATATTGATAAAAACATTCCTTGTTCAGTATTTGTATGCACATCATAAATCTATACTCTAATTCCTATAGGTTTATCTTGGATACCCAAATAAGACATTGTAAGTGGTATTTTATACATACTGTTTTGGTTTGCTAACTTCATTATTATGTTTACTCAAAAACATTCTGCAATTGCATTCACAAGATAAATCAACTTGCAAAATGGCATTTTCTTTAAATCTTTCTTGATCATCTGCATCCAATTCTTTTGTAAATGTCAGTAATGTATAACAATTGCACAGAATATTACATATTAGAGGAGAATCTACTTGATCTAGACTACTAACATTTAATCCTAATTTCTAGCATACATTATCATATTAAATTTATGTATGACCCATTGCTTTTACTTTTGATTTTCTTGGACCTACTATTAATTCTAATTTTACCATAAGTCTCAAATGTATTGCTTAAAAATAGCTCAAAACATTATTCTCTTGAATTATCAGCTATAAAGATAATTCTTTAAAAAGTATTTTTGTCCCATATTTTTATTAAACACATCTAAACTTTGGCTTAACTTTTATTTGGCATAGTTATTTATGTACCACTCAATATTTTATTGATTTATGAAAATTTTTGAACATTAAAAATCCTATATAATAGTTCTTCTAAATCATTTACTAATTTTTATAAGAACTAAGTTAATTTTTATTAATTTTTCACGATATAACTTCTAATGTTGTAAACTTTATGTTTCGGTTTCACTGTATCATTTGATTTTTCTAAATTATCTTACATTCTTATCATTTCCTAAACTTCCTCTCTTTCATAATCATCTTAACCATATACATCAAAAAATTAATCTAAAGAGCTTTAATCAAATTATAAATCTATTGCAATTGTATTTAATAACACACGAAATATTCCATCCTCTAATGGATACAATAATGGAATGCAATATTCATCGCATAATTAAATCTTTTCACAATCATTTAATAAACTTTATGGCTATGCATATATTGATATTTTTTATTCTCCTTCATCTTCTTTTATTGAAATAAATGGAATTATCAAATATTAAATAAATTATTTAAAGGTTGTAATGCATTTCAGTTGTTAAGTATAAGGTAATACATTCTTATAATCTATGAACTAAATAAGATCTTTAATTATAGATAATTCAACATATTCTATTTTTGCAGTTGAATGTTCTTATTTGGTATTTAAAGAAATCTTAATAGACAATTCTTTATTCTTCTAAACAACACCACAAGATATTTCATACAATACATTATCTATCAAAGCCTTTTTCACAATTGTTTGATCTGTTGTTAAATTTATACTATATTATTTAGATTGATCCATCTCTAAATTAATTTTAAAATTTATTACAATCTAATATTGTTAAATTCAAATCTAATGTAAAATCTGTATCATTTATCATAGATATACTATTAATCTTTGGTTCATCTGTATCTACTAATCCATTAATTAAATTATGAATATCAATTGTACTTTACCTTTCTTATTTTTTTATTGATAAATTTTGAATCTTTTAAGATTGATTTGAAGCAACACCAAAGCTCATTCTTTCTTACATTATTGCAGCTTAGGAATCAGAACTTTATTGTTATTAAGTTGAAACTTAGGAATATTGTTATTATTATTATTATTATTATTATTATTATTATTATTATTATTATTATTATTATTATTATTATTATTATTATTATTATTATTATTATTATTAAAATTAGTATTATTATTATTATTATTATTATTATTATTATTATTATTTCATCTTTTCCTATGCTGTCTCTTGTTCTTATAATCTGAATTTAATTTTTGAAGCCTCAGCACTTAACTAAGTTATTTTATCTTTTAATTCTTCAACTTCAATTTCTCTTTCCTTTCTTTAATTTTAAATTCTTTTATTTTCTTTTGTTAATTCATCAATTTTTTTTTCCAATTCAACTATTTTGGGTTCTTATTTCTTTTAACTTTAAGATTTCATAAAAGTGTCTATTTTTCTCTATATAATTTATTCAAGATCATTCTAAGGTTAAATTTACTGGCTTTAAATTAACTAATAAATTTAAAAATAATATACCTTAGGAGATTAGATACGAAAACTTCCTTTTTAGACATTTGCTGGTTAAATTTTTTACAATTAATTTAGTTCATGTCTTTATGATTAGGGCTTGACAGAATCAGGACGTTTGAAAGTCTTAAATCCTTATGCTTCACTAATTGATCTTTCAATGTGTCTTGGATTTTTAAATAGAGGAGCTTTTCCTTTCTTCAATGTCTTCATTAATTGGTGAACTTAGAAACAAACTTTTTAGGTATTCAATATTTTGCCATATGTTTTTTTCTAAAATTATACATTTTAATTGATACCATTGGAATATAATTATTGATACTTTTTTTCATATTAGATCCTCTTTCACTAAATAAAAATAACTTTGTAATGTGATGTGATGGTCCCAAATACTTCCGACCAAGTTTGGCTCCATTTATAAAAAATTATTAAAAATCTAAATCTTAACAAAATCCAAGAACTTATAAATTTTGCACTGTTTTTGCATAGAAAATATAACCATTAAGAAGAAGAACAATATCTTTAGGATTGCAAGAATTTTTTATTTCTTTGAAAATCTGATCTAATTAAAATATAAACCTTACATATGGTTCATAATGAATTAAGGCCTTTTCAGTAATTGAAAGACATTTTTTGAAATCTTACAAGAAATAGTAAATTCTGGCTAGGTTCAAATGTGAGATAATATGTAGTTATGGTATGTCTTATTCAAAGTATTTTAAGTTAAATTTTGCTACCTTTTTAGCCAAGTCTATCATATGAGCTTGGAAAAGTAACACTGTTAAATTATTTAATGATTGCACAGAGTAAAAAGGAGGAACATCTTAAGATAATGAAATGGTTAGGATAATAAGATCAGGACTTTCTGGATGTTCTTCAAACATTTAAGCAAACATCTGGAATAGTTCATACAAGTTGGAAACATCTTTATTCAAATTTTTAATGAAATCGATAGGTATTGTCTTGACTTTTCCAAAATTATGGAGTATTTCAATGTAATAATTATTCATATTAATAAAAATAAGCATTGGAATCATTTATTATTATTAATGAGCCAATTGGCTAATAAAGAAAAAGTCATATTTATGATCAGACTATTTGGTCATTAAAAGCATGGACATTCTAGAAATAAAGCGAGGATTTTTTAGAGAAATTTTTTCATGAAATTATTAGAGGAGAATAAAAAGGAAGGAAAATTATTTAAATCATTGTTATGACTATTAAATCTAAAAGAAAACCTTCGTAAGCTTATTCTTCTTAATATAATTTTGAAATATATCAAAATAAATTAATTACATACTAAAAGCTTCGTTACACAATTATGAATAAAGTAATGAATTTTTCCTTTATAAAGTAAGAGAAGTTCATTTTTTTAGAGTAATAAATTAACCATATATAGAAAATCAATACGTATTTATGAATCTATAGTGAATAATTTGAAATTTATTAGAAATCTATATCATTAAATCACTAGGTTTGTTCAAATATTCCATTATTCATAGAATAAATTTCTTTAAATTAAGATAGGACTTATGTAATAGAAATAAATGAATTTCTCTATTTGAAACAATTACATAAAATATAGATATTCTATTTAATTTCAGGGATCATTTTAAAAGTTAAATAGATTAGGAAATTTAATTTAAACTCAATCCGAAGACATTTGAGTATAATTAATGCTCTAAATGATAAAAAATAGCTTTAAAAATATATAGTTTATCTAAAAAACCAACTTTGGCTCAATTACCTTATCTTAGCCATTCAAGTGAAAATTAGTTATATGACTAATAATTCTAGTTATCAAACAACCTAGATAAGGGAAAAAACCTTTAATAAGAGACATTTTTACATATAATAAGTTAGTAATATAATTATATAAAAATAAAAATTCACAATCTAATAAGAATAGAATGATTAAATTGAATAATAATTAGTCAATGTTAAATTAAATTTAATCTATTATTTTTGTTTTCTTTAATGTCTTCTTCAAAAGTAAATTATTAATAAATGTTATAAGTTTTTCTTTTCGTTTTTAAAAGTTGAAGAAAAAATTACAATTAAATAAAGGTTAATTTAGATTATTATTATAATAATAATTGCTTTATTATTTCTAAAATTAAAGCCAGTGAATTGAATTAAAAATTTGATGATCAATTAAATAACTTGAGTTTTTAATTAGATAGAGGATATGATTCCTCAAAGTTTTATATAGTAATTAACTCAAATAAAAAATAAGAACTAATTTTATATCAAATTTAATACAATTATATTATTTTTTTGATTAAATTGTAAGAATTTTTACAATATACATAGAGATTTTGAGTTAATATTCATAGATAAACATTGATAATTTATAAGTATTGAATGATTAATTAATTAATTAAAAATGCAGAGATCATACCAAGAACAAGTGAATTAAAAGGATTACTAGCATAAATTATATTTCAAAAATGGTTATCCTTAGAATTAACAATTTAAGAGAGATCCAAATTAAATGCTTAGAGGATTAGTAAAAAATACATAAAAATAATTAGGTAGTAAAAACATGCTTACTTCACTTTATTGATTGGTTGAAATAAGGATTTAATCTATGGCTATTTGTTGTAATTATTCTATCAGCCAGTTTCAGAGCTGATTAATAGTTATTTATTTGTATAATTTAATTGGCAGGAAATCTATTCATGTCATCTTATAAGCTTTATCAATAAATTTGTAAGGCTTTGAGATAAGTAAATGAATATTTCAATTAAACTGTATATGTGATTGGATGGGATCCGAAATGCCATATCAGTAAATGCCCTAAAAGGAATGTGACAGTAGGAAATTTAATTTTCTTAAAGAGACATCAGCCAAGTCCTATGAGCATACTAATTTTGAATTCATAAGAAGAGAAATTCATGGTGTAAACTTCTGAGAAAGAAGGAATGACTCATATGACATAAAAATAGTCAATAAAATTAACATCTACTTCTGATTAATAAAAAAATCAAACTTTAATCTATTATAAGAGAATAATGACAGGTAAAATAGAATTTGATCAATTGGATACAAATGACAATTAATTCAGAGGTTTCATTAAGTTATAAAAAGATCCAAAGGGTGAATATTTGGATTATAGAAATATAGTAAATTAAAGTAATATGATAATCAATACAGATTGGGTAGTGGGTATAGTTATTAGTCATGATGATGAAGATGTAATAAAAATGTGGCATAATTGTTTTAAGAAATCTACAACTCATTTTGATAGATATTTAATGAAATTTTCTCGAATTTTTAGTCTATTATATTTTATATAATTGGCATTTTGCATAACTATAATAATTAGATTTTAAAAGATTCCATAGGATTTTACAATATATAATACTTTATGTAGAATATTTTAGAGTATAACATTTGTTCATCCTTGTATAATAACTGGATTATGTGAATTAACATTTTAATTTTTCAATAATATCTTTGAGAAGAATAAAAACATAATAATATCACATTCATCAGAATTATTAACTTTGACTAAGATAGATCATTGTATTTATGATAAAACTGGCACTTTAACAAATACAAATACGGTCCTTTGTGGAGTTATTTGTGGTGTTTACTTTTATAATCTTATAAATGGAGAAGGTATTAGAAGTTCAACAAAGAAATATAGAAAATTAATGACTACATAACATTAACATAATAACATGTAAGAAATACAAGAGGAATAAGAAGAATAAGATGAAAATAATTTAGGTATAGGATCTATATAGAAGAGTGAAAGAATGATTTAAAATCCTGGAAGTCATCATTCAGTAAAAAGTAGATTATAATCATATCCTGATGAGGCAATTAGTTTTAATTAGGATGATGCAGTCTTTAATGAAGAGGAACCAGAATCAAGAAACATGGTTTTCAATTTCAATCCTCATTTTATTAGGTAACCAGAATAAATAAGAATACAAAATGCTTAAAGTGTAGATGAAGAGATCTCATCACCAGAGAAACCAATATAAGGTAAGAGAAATAATAGAAGAACCTTTAACAATAATAGTAGATTGATAACAAAAACTAGAAGGGAACCCAGAATTGTAGAAAGAAATTTAGAGTAAACATAAGAAGCTGGTAATGGATCTTTATTATCCCCTTCTCCAGTAACTTCTTAAAAAGATATTAGAAAAGAAGTAAAATTATGTGAATCTTAAATTAATGAAGATGAATAATAATAATTATCTGACAGTGATAGTGAAGATTAAGATTAAGAAGGAAGAAAAGATTTATAAGAAATAATTAGATTAGGAGAGAAATAGGCAGACAATTTTATGAGATCTTTGATTTTATGTTAAGATGTTAAAACCAAATATTCAAAACCTTAAAATAAACCTAATCGAGATAAAAGTAGCTAAATGATGGGTATTTCTGGTATTATGAATGAACATCCTAGTATGAATCCTTAAAATTTTTTGAATGAAAATACAGAAGAATATTAGGAATCTGTAATTAAATTTGCAAAGTAATATCAATTTGAATTTAATTGTGCAGGTTTATTAAATAAAAGAATTTGTTATGAAATTAGTGCAAAAGGTTTAAGTGAACGATATTTAGTATATAAAAAAGTAAGTGATAATGAGACATTTGCTATTTTTATGAAACCTATTTAACAAAGATTAAGGAATTAAGGAGCTTAATATGACAGATAAGGAACAGAAAGAAGTTAAAAAGGAGCTTAATTAAAATTGTATGTTAAAAGTGAAAATCTAGGTCTTTTAGATAAGTGTAAATTATCATAAAAAAAGAGAGTAAATTTGGAAAAGCAGATAACTCATTAAGCTCAATCTGGATATAGATTTATTGTATATGCTGGTAAAGATGTGCCTGAAGAAGCAGTCAAAAATAAAAACAAATATTAAGAAGTTACATTTGATACTATGGAAATGACACATCATGATAAAGAACTTATTAGAGATTTAGATTATTATGGATTAATTTGTTTAAAAGAAGATCAAAATCCAGGAGCTTATGCTTAAGTTAAGACATTTAAAAATCTAGGTATTTCTTAATGGATTTTAAGTGGAGACAAAAAGATGTAAACACTTTCTGCTGCTAATCAAGTTGGTATTGTCAATAATAATAATACTTTATTAAGAATTGATGAATAAGATGAAGATAAATTAAAATTATAAATTAAATCTTAATTGTTATTTATTAGAAAACAACTATTAAAAGAAGATGAAAGTCAATAAAATGAATAAACTAAATCATTTATTAGTTAAAAATCATTTTCTGAAATGAAAAGAAGTGGTATTTCTAAAAAAGCTACATTTGATGAAAATATGATTTTGAAATCAAAGAAAGGAGAAGAACCTTTATAAAAAGTATTTCTATTAGTTAATGGAAAATCTATCAAACCTATTTTTAGTGATGATTACACAAAAAGCCATTTTCTATTTATTGCTTTAATTCTTAAAACTGTAATTGCTTATGATTGTTCTTCTGCAGATAAAGAATTGATTACAAAAGCAGTTGCTAAGATTATGGAACCTAGTAATACACTTTTAACTATTTCAGATTCAGTTGATGATTTTAATATGAATTCACATGCAAATGCTTCTATTTAATTTTCAAGAGAAAAAAGATCATTAAAAATAGCTTATTAAAATATTTAAGTAAATGATTTATAGCACATTAAATAATTAGTATTATATTTTGCCAAAATACTTCCTATGCATCTTAGTTAATTAACTGTTATGTGTACAAAAATAAGTTTATATTAATTAATCATATTCACTTTATTTGTTTGTGTGAGAAGAACACTTTATATAGAAGAACATGTAGTATATTTATTAGCACTTCAAATTCATATAATTATTAATGGTTTACTACCTTCATTTGAAGATAGATCAAGTCATGAATAGATAGAATTAATGTTACCTTAATATTAACCTTAAGCTTACAAATGCTTTAAATCTAATTTTAGATGGTTATAAGAATTATTTTATGAAGTAGTTATTTCAGCAGCTTTAACTGGATTTATGAATACATATATATTTGCAGAGTTTATGATGTTTTTTACATCTGATCCTAATAATCTTGCCCATTTGATGTTTTTATTTTAACTATTTTGTGTTTTTGCTTTTGGTACTTCTTAAATGATTCATCTTAATGTTCCATTTGGAAAGATAATTTGGAATTTTATTATCACTTTGGGTTTATTAACAATTTCATTTGCTATAGTTGTAGAATCTGATTAACGAGTTTAAATTATTAGGAATATATTTAAATGGCAATTTATTATTGGCATACTTACAGGAGTAGTTATTATCATCACAATTGATTAAATTATAAAATAAACAAGAGATATAATGTTTACTCCAAGAATAATATTAAATTTTGTTAAATATATGGAGAATGCAATGAAAAATTAATCAGGTAAAATTGTATAAGAATCTGTAAAATAATTTTCAATGTTAAATCATATTAAAATAAATAGATAATTCTTTAGAAAAATAAAAAAAGTATTTGAGAATGTATCAATAGATCCTTTTATTAGATCTTTATTTGAAAGCGAAAAAACTTAATCATTTAATGGTGAATATTCTAAAATATCACTTGTATTCAAGAATCATAATTATGAAAAATAATTTAGATAATTCAAAGTTTAATATTATTATTAATAAAGAAGAGTAGTAGTTTTATTTCTTTTTATTGTTTTACGAGTTAGTAGTGTAATTGCATGGCCTCCATTTTTGACAGTTGAAGACACAGTTCTCAATATCCTATGGGCAATATTTATGGTCATTTGGATTTTAATACTATTTGTTACTAAAATAGTTGAAAAGAAATAAGTAGATTTAGCTGCATTTCAAATAAAATGGGGTACAATTGAAGCATATTTCTTTATTCCAGTAGTCTTGATTTTGGATCATTTTTTAAGTGTCACACTTCCAGAAGATAAGAGCTAATATTATTTTAGCACTTTTGGATAATTATTATATTAATAGTTTTTGGCCTGGGATATCTTTCCTCCACCTTTATATTATCCAATAATTTTAACATTAATATTTTTTATAAATTACAGTATAAGAGTTGCAAATTTTTATGATATTTAGGTGAATTCAGATTCAGAGACACCCACATTTAGAGTAGAATTTATAACTTTATATGTTCTATTGTTCTTTTTGAACTTGTTATCAAATTATACTCACTATAATGTAAAAAATAATATAATTTTAGTTTTAACGATTTTAAAGATTAGTGTTTTTATTTGACTAAGCTTTATAAACATAATAAGAATAGACTAATTAGATCTTGAAATCTTTATTGCCTGCATTTATATATGAAAAGATTGAATAATCAGAAGAAACTGAAATAGAAGAAAATTAAGGATCGGTATCAATAATATTTTTAGAAATATGTGAATTTGATAAAATTCTTTAATCTAAACAACGATAAGTTGTAACATTTTTAGATGACATTTTTAGAGTCTTAGATAAAATATGTTTATAATATGGAGTGTAAAAGATTGAAACAGTTGGTAAGACTTACATGGCATGTTCAGGGTTGAAATCAACAGAAATAGAAAATAATAAAGATGGATTAAATCAATAAAAGAAGAATGAAACAGCAATAGCATTAGAATTATCATTAGATTTCTTAAAAGCAGTGTCTGAATTTAGATATGAATACAAAGATTAAGATGTTGTTAAATTGTTCAAATTAAAAATCAAAATTGGAATCCATTATGGATAAGTTATTGCAGGTGTAATAGGATATCATAAACCTTAATTTTCATTGATTGGAGATACAGTCAATACAGCATCACGAATGTGCTCAACTGGATAAGTAGGTAGAATAACAATATCAAATGAAGCTTATGAACGAGTAAAGGATACTGAATTTCTTTTTACAACTAGAGAAGTGGAAGCTAAAGGAAAAGGTAAGTTGACTGTTCATTAGGTGGCTTAAAGGAAATTATAGGTTAAAAAACATAATTCATAAGTGAGATTTTATGAAGGTTAGAAAAATGGAAGATTACTTAGTTTTAGAACTCATTTAACAAATAATATTAGATCTACTTAATTAAAGTAAACATATAAAGATGTCTCTCCTCCATCTTCAGTAAATGAACATTTAACAACAAAAGAATATGGTCGTAGATCTAAAATAATGAATCATCCTATGTAAGGATCTTAATTAGTAAAAATTACAAGGAAGAATAAAGGAGCTGAACCTACAAGGGGAATGAGAAAGGGAACTATTAAAGAAGAATTCACATCTATGAGTGAAAGTGTATGGAGAGAAAGGAAGTCTAAATCTTAAGTTATTTAAAGAACTGATTATAATACAAATGATTGGGAAGAGACAAAAGAAGATGAAATTTAAATGAAATAAGTAGAAAAAGATCCTGAAAACAGAATTATTGGAGTTTCTGATAATGATATTGATGGTCCTGAATAAGAAGTCAAAAGTGAAAGAGTAAAAAAAGTCATGGATTTAGAAGTACTTAAATACAAGAAATTAACACTTGAATATGAAAAATGTAATGATGCAAATATAGTAATGCAATTTGAATAGTATTATTAAGAAGTCAGATCAGCTTTAAAGGATATATTTTATCCTATGACTATTGTCTATACTTTATTTAAAGCGTAAATATAATTGATAGATTCAGGTTAAGATGGACTAACTATATATATTGTTAGAATGTTCTTAAGTTTATATTTAATAATATTGTATTTTATTACAAGCAGATTGAAAAAATATAATATGCATAATTTAGATTTGGCTTTAACTGGCCTATATTATGTGAGTGCCTTTTTAACAATGTTTTTTGTTACTTTTAATAATTAATAGAGATTCCTTATTTCTGATAATGCTGAAGCCTATTTCTTTGCGTTTTCAGCTGTAAATTAATAATCATTAAAATTCAAGTATATGTTCTTCTATATTTTATTATAATAAGCTGCATGGTTTGTCTAACTTCTTTTACATGAACATAATAATTTATTAGTATTTATAGTGTTATCTACAATTATCTTAGTAATAGTTTCACATAACAATTTTGAATTAACCATTAAAAATTTTAATAGTGCTGCTAATGAAAATTTGAAAAAAGAACAAAGAGATTCATTATTAACTAATTTATTACCATCACATATTTTAACAAGATTCTATTAAAATAGTAAAATTAAATTAGAATTATCTGATGTTTTAATAGATGCAACTCTTTTATTTGCTGATATAAGTGGATTTACAGCATATTCAGCAAAAGTTTCAGCTGAATAAGTCGTAAAGATGTTAAGAGAACTTATGACATCATTTGATAAGGAATGTTTATAATAGAATGTCTATAAGGTATATACTATTGGAGATTGTTATGTTGTTTTGGGTATAAATGATATGGAACAAAGACATCCTGGATAAGAAGCAAAAAATGTTTTAGAAATGGGATTAGAAATGGTAGAAATTATAAAGAGAGTAAGAAAAGAGGTCAATTTTAAAGATTTAAATATGAGAATAGGAATACATACAGTAATTAATTATTATTTATTAATTTTAGGGATAATTCTATGGTGGAATTATAGGAACAGATATTGTTAGATATGATATATTTGGTATTGATGCTGTGATTGCTAATAAAATGGAATCCTAAGGAGAAGCAGGGAAAGTTATGGTAAGTGAAGACACAAGAAGATTAATTAATATACATTTTCCTGGAGAATATACTTTTACTCCAAGTAAATAAGTAGACATTCCTGTAGCTAAAAAGAAGGTTTAACCATATTTTGCAACAAAAGCAGATGTTATAAATCGTCAAGACAATTCAAGATATATTTGATTGCTTTGTTTATCTTTTATTTAATATTAAGATTAAAATTAAATAAATTATAAATTTATGTTGATTATTTAGACAAATAAAAATAAATCATTTTTTAGCTGTTCCATCTATTTATGATAACATTTATGCCATTAATTTTTTAACTTCCATTGTTATCTTCATCATTAATAATGATTATTGTCTTGTATATTCCATAGATGCTTGCATAGATGTTGAGATATACTCTATAAACTCAAACAATTATTAACTTTACTTTACAGATCTATTTAGATTAAGTATAATAATTACGCATATAATTCATCTTTATTTACTTTTTATTGTCCCTTGAATATTTACTAAATAAATTTATTGATGTCTTAATCATTTAATCTTTTGTTTAAATTAATAGGCTTAGTTTCTCCTTTGCAGATTAATACCTTAGAGATTCCTCTAAATAAACAATCTATAAAAAAGAAAAATTCATCTGAAGTGATATGATTAGTCTTATCTGAACCAAAAATCACAGCGATGTCTATTCATATCAAACAATAGTTACTATAAAATATTTAACTAATTTCTCCAGTTGAGAGAAGAAGCATAACAGAAAATAATTCAGTAGCATCAATTCTTCCTATTCCTCTTGAATCAAATTATTAAAAAACTGTAGCCAAAGCTTACTTTTTATTAGAAATAGAATCCATAGCTTAAGAAGAATCAAAAAATAATGGCAAAGGAGCTTAGTTCTTTTTAGTCAATTTCTATAAGATAGATTTCAATGTCTCTTAAGTCCCTAAAATAATGAGTATATGTAATTACATCCACCACAAAGTTCTTCTAAAGCTGGCAACAAACATGATTATTCTCTTAAATTATTAAAGTACTATTATCTAAATGATGAGAAAGGAGTAGTTTCAAACTTTTAATACATAAAATAAATAAATAAATTAATGAATTAAAATTCACATTATAAATATTATAGTAAAATAGTGTATTTATGTATAATTTATAAATTATCATGAATACTTTTTATTAATAATCATGTCTATCACTTCATTATTAAATAAACATAATTACCTAAACTAATATAATTATTTTATATTGGATAGTAACACTTAATTATATATAAATAATTGAATAGGAATTATTTGTCCTTAATAATCATATGTAACACAAGGTGGTATTTAAGGTTTACTTAATTCTTAAGAATTTTATAAGAATATATCCTAAGGTCGACATTACCATAGCTATTATAAAATATAATTTATTATTTATAATATTAAAAGCAAAAAAAGAGAAAACAAATAATAAAAAAATTTCTAATCTGGAAAATAGTATAAGAATAATGATCTCCAGGCAGAAATGGGTTATTTTATTAAAAAAATTTACTTTTAGTAATAACCATGAACAATAATATATGATCCAAATATTAATACTAATTTTAGCAATCCTAAAATTTTCATAATATTAATTAATTAATAATGATGATTAATATTTTCATATTTCAAAATTTAGTAAAGTGTATTATAAAACTAAAGAAACTTATTAGAATGACTAATTCTTATAATATAATTTGATTTCTTATTCACTAAAATTATAAAAATCAATTTAATTCTTCAAATATTCGTTACAACCTTTCATGATTAATGACTATAAACTTTTGAGGTTCATTTTATGATGTTTAAATTAAAGTTCTTTTGCTAGCATTATGAGTAGGTAAATTCTCCATTTATTGTGGATAATTACCATTAGACATTAATTAATCTCTTCTCTCAATTAAATAATTGAGTAAATCACCCGTGTTAATTTTTCTTAAATCGGCATTATTTTCCTATTTTTTTAAATAATTTTCATACTTGTTATGCATATTTCAACATGAGTTTAATAACATCCTCTTGACCTCTTTTATACTCTGAAATACAATATTAACAACACTCTTACATAAAATCATGTAAGTCTTTTCTTTTTAAATCATATTATGCATTTAATTAAGGGTCCATAATTAATAGTTATATATGAACCTAATATTATAATAAACAGCAATTAAAATTATTTTTCTTATAAAATTATTCAAATAAGATTAGAAGATATTAAATTATAAAATTGCTGCTACTCAACATTTCAAACCAAAATTTAATTTATGTATCCATCTATTAAAGAGAAACAAAGGAATAAATATGTTCTTATAAATTTTAAATTAAAATGATTCATTATCAATTAATCTAAAAAAATAAAATAATAAGTTTAATATACCTTTATAATTAACTAATAGTTATTAAAAATAACTGATAATATTTAATTATGTAATTATTTATTTTTTAAACTTAACTTTTATCAACTTATATTAACAAATAGATTGTTTTAATGCCACAAAATCATTATCAATTGAATTCCAAAAAACTATATTAAATTAATATCATTTCTATTTTTTATATGTTACATATTACTTGTTTAAAAATAAATTTTAATTAAGACAAAACCTGTAGAACCGAATAAAGATATTGAACTTTTTATTAAACTGAAACAATTATATCATTTGTTAATAAACTTGAATTAAGTAGTTCTTTGAATAGAAAACAAGAAATAATTGAAGTATATTTAATGCTATATGTCGATATCAATTCGATTATTTTTATAAAAAGCTACTAATAATTAAATGGATTCAATTGACTATAAAGAAGCTAAATTCAAATTTTTAGGAATTAGAAAACACTTTTTTATAGATGTAACTTATCATATAACAGTTTTTGATGAAATAGTGATAATGGGAAGGGTAAAAATCATCAATAAAATTTAGACAGCAGATTGCCAGAATCCTAAATACAGAATTAAACTGAGCCTAGATACAAAAATTAACTGGGAGATAATTAAGAGTAGAAAAGAATTAGAGTACTTTGAAATTGTTTATTAAAAGAAAAAGAAGATTTTCCATGCATAAGCAAATGATTTATTAAAGTACTTTTAACTTCATTTTATTTAAGATTTAAATAACTTTTGGCTGGAAAAGTAGTGTTTGAGGGAATAGGAGACTTATTTTAACCTTTATTTTAGGTTGGTAAAGGAAGTTCAGCAAAAGTATGAAAATATACAATTTATTTAGGTGTACAGTGCAAGAAATGTTTTAGATAATAAAGTTTATGCAGTTAAAGCAATCTAAAAGTCTTTTTTGATGCTTTCAGAAAATGGAAGTGGAATGGTATATATTAAATAAAAGCTTAGTAAGCATTTTAATCTGAAATATAAATCCTAAAAACATTATCATAATATGAACAAAATTTCTTAGTTCTGAGTGAGATCTATGAAGGAGATAGTACCTTTTATTTGGTGACTTCTTATTTGGAAGGTTTGAATTTAAGTGTAGAATTGGAAAAAGCAAAAGTGAATTTTAATATATAAATTAAATAGACTCTTCCATAGAAAAGATTACCAGTTTAAAGTATAAAAATGATTATGAAGAAATTACTCACTAATTTAAAAATACTTCATTCTCTTAAAGTATATATATATATATATTAATATTAGATAATTCATCGAGATTTAAAACCTGATAATTTGATGTTTGCTAGAAAGAATGACTATTCATCATTGGTTTTAGTAGATTTTGGCCTTGCAACATTAGAACTTGTAGATTAGTAATCAACTGAAATTATATAAGTTATTTATTTCCAAAGTGCGGGACACCTGGTTATGTAGCTCCTGAAGTATTAAGTTCAAGAAGAGATTAAAAGTATAATAATAAAGTTGATATATTTTCTGCTGGTTGCATATTTTATAAATTACTCACTGGACAAAGTTTATTTCAGGGATAGAATTTTGATGAAGTCTTAAGATCAAATAGACATTGTCATATTAATTTAGAATTACCTATTGATGGAAATTATATAACAGATTAATCATTAGTATGTTTAATATAATTTAATTTAGGATTTATTAAAAAAAATGTTGAATACAAATGGACAGATTAGAATTTCTGCTATATAAGCTTTACAACATCCTTTTATTGATTCTACTAATTAATATAGTACTTAAATTATTTAAACTACTGGTTAATTAGGGATTAAAAATGCCATTTATCAATTAAATCTGGCAGAATTTGAATCTAAATATAATAGTTAAAATGAAATTGGAGATGAATAAAATTATAAAATTAATGATCTAAAGAGATATTCTTTTATAACTGAAGTATAATAATAGATGTCTTTGTCAGCCAAAAGAAGTAGTGGTTAATTTTCAGGAACATTCTATTAAAAGGATCCATTATCAGCTCTAAGAACATTAAAATTATATACAGAAACTTCATAACCACTTAAAAATAGTAGTCATTCACAGCATTCAGTATCATAATTTTGATTCTTTAATCTTGTATATAAATTATTAAATCATTTAATTGATAAAGACTTATTAGATCAGACACTTTTCTAATTTATAATACTTTTTAAGCAGCAGCTAAAGTAGTATAGACTCTTTTATCGGCGAATATTCAAGCTGAAGTAATTTTTATTATGATATCCTTCTCATCATTTTTCTTATATCTTCTTTTGTATTAGGTTCTTTATTATTAGTTGGTTGATAGAGTTGCATGAATTTATTTATAGTGATTTATGCTTTTTCAGTAGAAGTAGTTAACGAAGGCACAATCACTAAAAATATTCATTTATATTATACTCAATTAACTTAATTTATTTCCTCTTTAAAATGTTTATTATTGTTATTTATGTAATTCGAATTATATTTCATCATTATACATCTAAATTCTATGTATTTTTATTGTAATTTTTCCACTTGATCCATAAATTCTTTAATCCTTTTGAGCAATCTCATCCTATTGCTTTTTTATTTAATCATTGATAAAAATAAAGCAAGAATTTCTCTATAATTTATTGTTACTTTTATCGATATGACAATTATAATAATGAATAATATCAACTTTGATATTTATAAACTAAATATCTAATTAAAGTAATTAATATTCAATATTAATAATATAATAAATTATAATAAATAGTTATATTTCTATTTGAATATTAAATTTTTAATTACATTTATTTTAAATTATTTTTTCATAAAATATTAATAGTGAAATAGTTAATCAAATAGAATAATTCATCAATTTTTAAATGAAAATATATGTCTGAACTTATAAATAGTTAATTTAAAACATGCAAATACTCTACTTGTTAACTTTGTTTTGTATTTTAATCACAATTAATGCATAATGTGAACTTGTTAATGACTAATGTTCACAAGGATGCAATAAAATTGATGGAATATGTGTTGCTGAGATCTGCAATTCTTTTATAAATAAATTAGGAGACTCTTAAACAAATCCATTCAAGGGGATAATAGAATATATTGATGAAACTATTGATTTAAATATTACTATATCTTACACTGATCCTAAATTTATTGATACAACTTAATAAGGGATTACATAAGGAGAAAATACTGCATCATGTTTATCTTTAAATCTATATAAATATTAAAATAGTGAATATAAAATAAAAGATTCATCATCCTACACTATCAATTACATTAATGATGGTTAAAGTACAAGAGCATATTAATTCATTATTCCAAGTAAAGATTTTATAAAAGAACTCTAATTATCAGATGATGGAACTATTTTCTCTTTTCATGGATATTATAGTTTAGATTTTAGTATAGGAAAATTAGCATAAAGAATTATTTATTTTGACTTCAATGCAGGTATAGATAGAACAACAACTGGAAATAAAAATACTACTTTTGGAAGTTTGAGTACTAATAAAATTATTATTTGTAATCCAAAATGTATAACTTCAGTTAATAGTTCACTTAAATTCTGTTCTGATGAAACATGTGCTTAAACAATAGAGAAAGTTGATCTATATTTGAATGATCAAATATGGATAAAATAAACTTTAACAAAGGAAGGAACATAAAATTATTATTTAATCAATCCTGAAATATATTTTACAGGAGATAAGTTATTCAAAAAAGCAACTATTCTATAATAAAAGATCAACTAAAAAGGTTATGCAATGTATTTGATTAAAGTTGAGATTGCATGGACATTTATAACAATATCTGCAAAAGCAACTATTTCATCAACAGCAGGATCAAGAATATTAGATGAATAAAATTAATCATAAACTTTAGGAGTTACTTAAGAAATAGATTGTATTAAAAATAAAGAATCTAATTAATGCATTGAATGCGATTAATCATTAAATGTTAATAATGTTGATTCACCATAATAGGATGGATGTCCAATAAGTGGTAATACTTTGATTATTGGAATTATGATGTTAATGAATTTTTTAATTTGATAATTTATTTTTATTTTTAAATTCCACTAATTCTATTTGATTTATTAGTTAAATTTTATATTTAAACATTTTATGATATAATTGAGATGTTAATTCTATTAATCTGTCTTAAATTATTAATTTTCTATAATGATTAATGAATTTATTATTTTAAATTGCCCTTTATATTTCTTATTAATAAAGAATTTATATCATACAATTATAGGAAAGTATTTATATTAAGGAATGTAAATTTAAGACAACATCATAATACTTTAATTATTATTTCAATTAGTGATTATTGAGTTAATATTATAATAGATCTTATTATTATATAAATAATAATAAATATAATAATATATTTATATATATGTTCAATAAATTAGTGACTAATACAAATAATGATAATTTATCTAATTTTTATTCCTTTTTAATTTACATTAGCTAATTGGAATTTATCTATCCAATATTCAACATTATGCAATTGTTAATAGATATCAGAACCAACTTTATGCAGTTCTAGTTAATTTTGTTAGCTTGATATGGATTTTGAATGTATTGAAGTACTTGATTATAATTGTTCATATTTCAATGAATAGACAATTCTTTATTTATGTTCACAATTAGATAGATGTTATTTAAATAATGGATAATGTGTTGAATTAAATGATTGTACAAAATTAAAAGGTTTAACAGATCAAGACTGTTATTAATAATCTAAAAGATGTGGTACATCTATTAATAACATTTGTTAATTAACTTAATGTGATAGTTATTTAGATGAAAGTCAATGCAACAATTCTATATTTAATATAAGATTTGATAACATTGGTTATGGAAATGTTTGTTATTGGAACAATAACATTTCGACATGTTAAAATTTGTTATGTGAAAATGTATCAGTTGATAAATGTTATCAATATACAAATTTATGTCAAATTGTAAATAATCTATGCACATGGGCAACATGCTAAAATTTGTCTCCTGAGGATTGCACTTATGTATGGGAAGGTTCTCAAAGAAATGTTATATAACCTTGTGTATTAGTAAATGGAATATGTTAAAATGCTAATAGTGCCAATGAACTGAACAGTCAAGATTGTACTTTAAATACTCTATATACATACATCTATACATCAGATAATACTTGTTAACCATGTTAATATTCAAATTACCTTAAATTTCAATTATTATTGATCCTCATATTAGTTAATTGAAAATTATATCAAATGAAAAATATTCATAATTTAATACATAAACGTATCTATATATTTAAATAACTTTATTAACTTAAATCTGATACTTTTTATTAATTAAGATTATAATAAAATGATCAATAATCTAAATAATTAATAAGTTTACAATATTTATTTTCGAATCCACTTATCTAATTTTATTTCCAATCTTAATTTTTATTCCTTCTATTTGATTAACATAAATAATATATTTTACAAAATTTAAGCCTTTTAAATTAATTCTAATTATCTATATAATTATTATAGATTTAATAAAATATTTAAAATATTTATATTTTAATTTCAAATTTTGTTTTTTAAAATAAAACATACAATGATAAAGTTTCTCTTTCATCATTTATTTCTAAATTTTGAAAGATATTAAAATCGCTCTTTCTTTTTAAAAAATTATTTAGAGATTTTCCAAATAAATAGATATATATTCATTATGAAATTATTAAGTTGATTTATTAAAATACTATTTTATTTTTATCAAGAATGGGAAATAATCATGCAAAATTCTTTTCAAAAGAAAAACCTATACTACTCATTATAGGACAGAATGGAGTAAGAAAATCAAGTAAAATACACTTATTCTATATATCTTTAATATTTAATAAAAATATGAAAATATTAAAAATTGTTATTAATTTTACATTTTTACAATTTGATAAAATACGGTTTATTTCAATTATTAAAATTTAATGGTGATAATAATGTTAATTTTATTTAGCTATGATTCTCTGAGAAATAACAATACTACAATAATTAAGATTATCATATTACTAAGAGAAATAAATATAAAAGAAACTCTTTTAATTGCTTATAATATATAAAAATTTGATAATATAAGGTCTAATCTATGACAATTAAAATGATAAATAAACATGATATGATTAGAAATATTCTCAATACTTTAGTTAAATAAATAAGTATACTTAAATATGAAAATAATAATTTTAAAATTAAATGAGGAAATTTATAAAAAATATTAGCTAATGGGAAATAATAGATTTAGTTGAGTAAGTTATTTTATATATTTAAATATAAAAACCAATCAATATATCTAAATGTTAAATTTTTAATCATCTATTTATAAAAATTATGATGTCAAAATTTCAATATTAGAACTTATCTTGTTAAAAATAACGAAAAAAATTGAATTAAAAATATGTTAAATATATTGATTTAAAAAAAAATTAATCAAAGAATTCAAAATGTTAATTATTCTTAAATATTAGATAAAATTGTAAGAGCATGATATTAAAATGAAAAGAAATTTATTTTTTTAATGATCATCTATTAAATTAAATACATTATAAACATTTACTAATAGTCTATCATGTATAAAGGAAAGAGCATTTGACAAAATTATATAGTTTCGAGCCATTTCTTTTTCATTAGAAATTTAAATTTATAAATTTTATTTTAATATATACTAGAATTTAAGCCATTTAATTAATCCAGTTAATATTTTAATTTAGAAAAAATAAAAAAATAACCAAATCATACAAACAACTTATAGTTTAATATCACATTTATTTAATTAAGATCTCAATACAATTTTATAATGTAATAATTTAATCTTTAAATAATTTAGATAAAACATAAGTTTTATTAGGATTTTATTTAATAAGGTAAGGGTGTATATGAGATGTCATTTGAGTAATAAAATCAAATAAATAATTTTGATATAATAAGATATATTAATAGTTATTAAAATAAAAATAATTATATTAGATCATTATGTAAGAATTAATTAGAAAGCTAAATTAAAGAAATAAAAATTAAGATAATAAATAAATTTAAGGTAAAATATTATAAACAATAAGATTAAATTTAATGAACTAAATAAATTCCTTATTTACTGAAGAAATGAATATAATAATAATCTTTTGATCTATATAATATCCTTTAGATTATGGGCTTTCTTATCTTAAATTTCTATTAATCTTATTTTATTTTATATTGTAATATTCTTCTATTAAAGTAAATAAGTTTATAGAATTAAAAGGAAATAAATATTTAATCGTTTTTTAAAAAGGTCTAATATATTTGGAGTGAAATTGATGATTTTATTTATTAATTATTAATTAAAATGAGTTTAACTAAGCCAATAAAGGAATATAAATTGATTTTACTATAGAATAGTTCTTATAAAAAGAAATTTGAATACAAAAATAAGGATAAATTTCTAAAGATTTTGAGAATTTCCATATCAGATG